CTAGATTTCTCCACAATTATTAACATTACATCTCTATAATTATAAGATTTGGCTATAAAATAAACAGTCTGAAATGAATAGACTGGCCGCCGGGACCATGAATTACACATTTGGTTTGGTTTGGTTTGGTCCCAGTTCATTTCTTGGCATGATTTTAGTGGGACCAGGACCAGAATGGGAGTGTAAAGTGACTAGAATTATCAAAACATGAGTGAAATGGGACTAAAAAATCTTGATATTCCATGTAAAGTGACTGACTATCAAAATCAGAACATGATCTGGGACTGATTATGATTTTGACTCAAGTTTGGTCCCATTCTGATGATTATATAATACATCAATCTGATGATATGATTGGTGGAGATATTACCTCTATCTTGCTTAGTGCTGCTGCCAATCTACCCACCACTGCCAATCTACCCACCGCCGCCAATCTATCTACCGCTGCCAATCTACCTACTGCTGCCAACCTATCTATCACTGCTAATCTATCGCTGCTAATCTATTGCTGCTAATCTATCACTGCCAATCTACCTACCACTGCCAACCTATCTACCACTGCCAATCTATCTATCGCTGCCAATCTATATAGGGTAAATCATGGTCCCATTTGGTCCCATTTTGTAAAATGGGATCAAATGGGACCAGAATCACTAATTTATTAGTAAAACATGATCTGGGACTAGATTTATAATATAAACAGTGTAAAGTGACTAATTTGCTAAACACTATATGGGACCAGGACTAAGATATCTAATAATGGGACTGAGGAAAAATTTGGTCCCAGTTCCATGCATGGTCACACGGCCAGTCTAGAAATGAATGATGAATATCTATTTGAGATTCTCATTCTATTATCTTATAGATCAATTCTTTAAATATATAAATGACAGTAAAGTTAACACTATTTGAGACTCTTATTATAAAATAAAAAGAAGTGATGTTAGATAGTTGATATCTGAAATCTTGATCTTCTAACTTTGTAAAAAATAGAAGATTAACAGTGAGATTGAGAATTCAGTGAATATAACTCACTGAGATATTTCTCTCTTCTGATTCTAGAAGAATATCATCTATTTTCTCAACTCATTCTATATTACTATCTGTGATGATTATCTCTAAATCCCTTTCAAATAACTTTGTATACATCAATAAATGTCTTTCATTCATTATATTAAAGCTTGCACAGATGTCAAGATACTAAAATTTAAATATTATAGCAGACAACACAGATAAAGCAAATACTGTATTGATATTAGATTGTAAAATAAGAAAATCTGATACTCTGATATCAGTAGATTTATTATTATTTTTATTCTTTTTTTTATTTTTTTTTTCTTTTTGATACTCTCAGTATTATCAGTATTTTTATTATTCTTATTCTTCTTTCTTCATCACTCAGATATTTTATCAGAGTTCAGATAATAATAATTAACTTTTATATACTCTGAAATCTTACAGTATCTACACTGTAAAATTATGATAATAATTGTGATATTATTATCATTATTATTAATGATTACATTGATTTTTGAAACTTTGAGATATTCAGAACTCTCTGATTTACTTATTCAGTAAGTAATTTATTTTATAAAATTATTAATATCTAAATTAATAATCAGACTCTGATCTATTTTATAGAATATATCAAAATATAATTTAATATAGATTCTCTGATAATCTTGAAGACTGATAATAAAGAAATTATGAAGATAGTTTTTATTATAATTCTTTATTAATTGTTGTATATAAGCAGATAGATAGTGATATTAATATATATACATCAAATAATCATCATTCTTGATATGTAAGTAAATAAGTTTTTTGAGAATATTAATTTTTTTTTTTTTAGAGATATTATATATACTGTGTTTATCTTATACTATAGAGCTGCTGTATTATTGAATTGAATAAATTTTATAATCAAATAAATAGAATCTATCAGAGATTGTAACATACAATAGAAGAGTAGTTTTGAATATATCATTCAATATTATTATTTAAGTATTGATAAATCTTCAGATGATTTCTGTTGATTTTTATTGAAAATATCTATATCACTAATCATCTCTGTATCTGAGAAGAATATTATCTTTTATATCTAATAATTGATACTATTAAATATAATGATAGATTTTATATTTAATAAAATCTGTGCTTTCTTCTGATATTCACAAGTCAGTATATTCAGATTTTCTTCTGATATAGAGTTTAAGAAAAATAAAGATAGAGAAGAAAATAATAAAGAAGATAATAATATATATACTGATATCAATTACTTATAGAGTGTAATAAGATCTGCTGCTGTCATAATTATTATACTGTTAGAATTCAATATAGATATCAGTATAGAACTGAGTAGACTGGCTGTGTGACCATGCATGAAACTGAGACCAAATTTTTCCTCAGTTTCATTATTAGATATCTTAGTTCTGATCTCATATAGTGTTTAGTAAATTAGTCACTTTACACTGTTTATATTATAAATCTAGTCCCAGATCATGTTTTACTAATAAATTAGTGATTCCAGTTTCATTTGATCTCATTTTACAAAATGAGACCAAATGGAACCATGATTTATTCTATATAGATTGGCAGTGATAGATTAGCAGTGATAGATTAGCAGTGGTAGATAGATTGGCAGTGATAGATAGATTGACAGCAGTAGATAGATTGGCAGTGATAGATTAGCAGTGATAGATAGATTAGCAGCAATAGATTAGCAGTGATAGATTAGCAGCAATAGATTAGCAGCAATAGATTAGCAGTGATAGATTAGCAGTGGTAGATAGATTGACAGCAGTAGATAGATTGGCAGTGGTAGATAGATTGGCAGCAGTAGATAGATTGACAGTGATAGATTAGCAGTGATAGATAGATTAGCAGCAATAGATTAGCAGTGATAGATTAGCAGTGATAGATTAGCAGTGGTAGATAGATTGACAGCAATAGATAGATTGACAGCAGTAGATAGATTGGCAGCAGTGATAAATTAGCAGCAATAGATAGATTGACAGTGATATAGATTAGCAGTGGTAGATAGATTGGCAGTGGTAGATAGAGGATCTAATAGCAAGCCATCAGAGCATTGAGCACTAAGCAAGATAGAGGTAATATCTCCACCAATCATATCATCAGATTGATGTATTATATAATCATCAGAATGGGATCAAACTTGAGTCAAAATCATGATCAGTTTCAGATCATGTTCTGATTTTGATAGTCAGTTACTTTACATGAAATATCAAGATTTTTTAGTCTCATTTCACTTATGTTTTGATAATTCTAGTCACTTTACACTTCCATTCTGGTTCTGATCCCACTAAAATCATGTCAAGAAATGGACTGGGACCAAACCAAATCAAACCAAATGTGTAATTCATGGTCCCGGCAGCCAGTCTAGAACTGAGTATATTATTTTCAGATTTCTTATATTCTGATATCTTATCAGTATCTTATACTAAGTCAGAGATTGTTATATCTTTCTCTATTATTATATATTCAGTTTAATCACTCTTCACTTCTGAGATGAATTTTTACTCAGTAACAGAGAAGAAGAATTGAGAAACTTTTGATTACAAATATAATATCTTCTTATATTCTGATATGAAGATTGCAGATAATTGAGAACTACTCATAATCAATCTGATTTAAAAAGATTCTGAATAAAAATAAATAAATAAGTTTTTAATTTCTTTAAAATAATAATGAAATCTCTGCAGCAGTCTCAACAGTAATTTCATCAATTATATTATTTTTATAGACAAAGAGCTCTTTTTTCAGAGAAATAATGTCTAACTCATTCAATATAACATTGATTGCAGTGTATTCTAATCAAAATGTATTGTTTTTCTTAAAAAACTGCTATTCAGATCATAACCTGTGGAATGGTTGATCTTGTTATTGTTGTGGTCACTAGCTAACTATATAGGGGTAATCACGTGCGGTGAAGGGCCATCTGGGCAACTAGTGCTCAACATATATTAGTTGCCACTAAATAGATAAACAACCAACCAAGGTTCAACCCTCTCACAGATTATGAGGGCAGGTGCTCTTTGCACTAAGTGCTCTTTGCACTACAACCGCTTCTTTCAAAATCCTAATAATTTCATTTAAATAAATACTCTTTCAGAGCCACCTTTATATAGATTCAAGGGAATCTAAAGAATGAAAATAGATATTATAATAAATGATCATTTTTCTTAGATCAAAAGAAGTTTGGCAATAGTACTGAAATATTACTAGTAATAATGGTTTTTTTACAACAAGAACTATTAGAAATAAGATAGAATGGTTTAAATTTACTAGTTTTTGAGAACACTATTTACAAGTCAAGTTTGGACATTGTATCTCAACACAATCACAGCAGCAGCGGTGGTGAAACTCAATTGAGCTTCACCTTGGAATATAAACCAATCAATTGTTGAATTTATAGAGAAACTCACTTGGATATATTTTACATACTTTTGCTTATTGGATTTCTACAAACAGTTGCTCTGTCAAGGAGTCCTTAAAAGATATATAGATAAACAACTGAAGGGAGCTACAAGGTTGACTTGAATGATGATGAACACTGACAGTATTGAACCCCTTGTGTCAACGCCTGCTCATTGGCTTTTATCCATTTTGTGAACAAAATCGCTCATTATCACAGGTAGTTGTTAGCTACTCTGCGCAGGCAAGGACATTCAACCCTTACAGACTTTGCAGAGGTTACCAAGGAGCAGATCATATGCGATTGTATAATCAAGCATACCCTTTCATATAAATACTGCCTGGTTATCATGTAATTATTGGAGTTAGAATAATAAAATTCAATTTATTTTATCGATATTCAGTATTTGGGTCAATATTCGGACTTTGTTAGTTCCGACACACTGAGTTTCCCCCCACCATTAACTGGCCAAATTTGTCTTGCAGTCTTGTTCGCTCAACAGCCCACTCCCAGAATTCAACCTCTCCATTTAAAAAATCAAATAATCGTGACCTTAAAATCAATCATGGCTGAAAACGATACATATCAGACTCCGCTGGCTTCGCGGTATGCAAGTATGTGTTACTTTCATTTGGGCTAACAGGAATGTCCACTAACACTTGGCCTTCGATTCATGACAGGCAACGAGATGAAGACAATCTTCTCCGCCCGAACTCGATCGACGACATGGCGGAAACTGTGGATTTGGCTGGCAGAAGCTGAGAAAGAATTGGGAATTGAAATCTCAGACGAAGCTATTGCTCAGATGAAGGCAAATGTGCTGATGACGGACAATTGCTTCAAGGTCGCAGCGGAGGAAGAAAAGCGACGTAGGCATGACGTTATGGCCCATGTATACGTGTGTATTATTCCAGTGGCATCTTCTCGAGAGCTCATTTTGTTGTACAACTTCTATGCCTCCATTACAGATATTTCGGGTCCCACGATACTAATACGAGGATTTATCTTAGGCATTTGGTCAAGTCGCCCCAGCCGCTCAAGGAATCATTCATCTTGGTGCTACCTCTTGTTACTGCACAGACAACAGTGATCTGATCAGCATTCGTGATGCTCTTGATCTTGTCCGTCCCAAACTTGCAACTGTGATCCACAAGCTGTCTCAATTCGCCGTGGAATACAAGGATATGCCCACCCTTGGCTACACTCATTACCAACCTGCTCAGCTCATCACTGTCGGACGCCGTGCTGCTCAGTGGGTGCAAGATCTCCTCATGGATCTTGAAGATATTGAACGCGCACGCAACGATCTCCGTTTCCGGGGAGCTCAGGGAACTACTGGAACCCAAGCCAGTTTTATGGAACTTTTCAACAACGACAGGGCCAAAGTCGACAAACTCAACGAAATTATTTGCACCAAAGCTGGATTCCCCTCCTGCTACCCGATTTCGACCCAAACTTATTCCCGCAAGGTTGATTTGCGCGTGGCCAATGCGATCTCTGCATTGGGCACTACAGTTCAAAGAATCACAGGTGATATCAGACATCTTGCAGCCCAGAAAGAAATGGAAGAGCCATTTGAGAAAGATCAAATTGGGTCGTCAGCCATGGCGTATAAACGGAATCCTATGCGCAGTGAACGTATTGCTAGTCTGGGACGGCACTTGGCTAACTTAAATAAAAACGCTGCGGATACATTTGCGCAACAGTGGTTCGAGCGCACACTTGATGACAGCGCGATTCGTCGTATCACCATCCCAGAGATGTTCCTAAGTGCGGACGCGATCCTCATAGCAATGGACAATGTGGTGTCAGGGCTTGTTGTTTATCCAGCCAGAATACGTAGCAGGCTGATGGAAGGCGGGTAACGTAATAACCCTTTAAATAAAGGGAAAATTTCTAACAATGGTGTAGAACTCCCTTTTATGGCGACCGAAAATATCATGATGAAGATGGTGTCTCTAGGAAAGTCGCGACAGGACGCCCATGAGGAAATCAGGGTATTGTCTCATCAGGCAAGCGACGTGGTCAAGAACCAGGGTGGAAAAAATGACTTGATTGAAAGGATGAAGAAATCGAAATTCCTGGCCCCAGTAGCCGGGGATCTCGACCAGTTGCTAGATCCAATGAACTTCATTGGAAGGTGCCCCGAGCAAGTTGAAAAATTCTGTGGACCAAATGGAGAAGTTCAACAGGCACTGAAGCCTTATAAGCATTTCATTCACTTAAGTAAAGTATCTGAGCTTTTTGTTTAATGTTGTCAGATAGTAATTCAGGTTCTGCAGACTCTTGCTTTTCTCATCTCAGTATCTTAGAATGTTCTACTACAAAAATGAATATATGTTGATGAAAGATTACAAAGTGATAACTGGTGTAAAAGAAGTTTGAAATGTGTATTGGAAGCTGATTTAAGAAATTTTGAGTAAATTTAAGATAACTAGCACTTGCTCTTTATTTAATCACTAATCACCTGCTGCTGATGCAATCATCATATTGTAATTGTCACCGCAACACAGTTTGTATTCACTGCGCATACAATATGCCTATATAGGGGTGCCGGGCGCAACTGGCGAAGCCAGTTGTCTTATGTCTTTTTGGCCTAGTTGGTTGGCACTGTAATGCCTGGCCGTTGCTCCCAATTACAGCACGATATAACAGATACTTATCAGAGAAAATGATGACCTTTAAGACAGTATTGAATATAGTAACATCATAAGCATCTGAACTCTTACTCTATAAGCTTTATTTAATACTCATTTTAAATACTTTAGATTATCACTGTAGCTATTGCTAGTCATTCTATCTTTCAACAATATACCTTAATCTGTGATAGTGGCACTACCCCTTCTGATCTAGTGATCAAGCTCAGAAGCACTATATAAGCCCGACCGTATCTTATATACAGTAAGAAGCTTGCTAAATTAAAGACTCGGTAGCAAGTGAGCAATATCTATTCATATAGATTGATCAGATATCGCGCACAGACGTAAATAGATAGATCGCTACCGTTCTTTCTTCTATTAGCAATCGATTGAATATCGAGCAGGTCTTTAGATAAATAGGTGGTTAGAGAGGCAGATAATTCAAGGCTAAGAATAGAGTCGATTGCGAACTAGTCGAAAAGTCAAGTCTCTACTCCAGAAATAAAAGTGGAGATTCTCTGTGTTTAAACCAATTAGAGATGCGAAGCAGTGAAAATCTCTATACTAATAAAATAATTGAGATTGAGGCCACTGTTTTGAACAAACCAGCATCTAATCATTTCAGTCAGGAAATGAAGCAACTTTTGCCACTCTCTCTCAAAGCTTTGCATGGTAGACTTCGCTTCGCTCTATTTAATAAAAATGAAACTTAAAGCTCTTATCAAATTCACTTTAATAATATTCATTATGTAATATAAGTAAAAATAATATTTAAAGTAGTTTATAACTATACATTTGTATATATTTAATCTTTTAAATAATATATTAAAAAAAAACAATTTTATATGTTAAGTGTAATATTACTTCCCTTGCTATCACCTTTATTATGAAGTTTATTTTCTCTGTTATACAAGTTATATTTGTTTTAGCGATGCAAGATATATTAGCGAAAGTAAGTACATTAAATTTATTATTATAAATAATTAACACCATTCATTATTTTACATAACTTATATTTATTAAAAAGTGTAAAATCTAATAAATTATTTGAACATTTAGAAAATATCTGTTCATAACATTAAACATATCACTGATAATAAAAATAATAAGAATAATATAGTAGATAATCGGCGAATATCTACTGCTTCAAAAGATTCTACTGATCAAATTATGTCATCATTATCGAGTACTCTATCATTATCAAATTTTTCGATGCTGAATTTGAATCAGAATAGCAAACAGTCTATATCTACATCTAATTTAGCATTAAATAACCGCTTTGTTCACTGTGAAGATCTTTGGTGCGAATATAATGAAGAATGCTTGGTAATTCATTGTGGTCCTTGTGTTGCAACTCTTGAGGAAGATGAGAAAGTTTGTATGAACATTATCATGAAATAAAAAAATTTCTTTCAGTCATTTGATAATTAAATTAATTACAATATGAGAATAAAATAAACAATAATTTGTGTTTTTTAATATTATTTTCCATACTATAATATTATAAATGTAGTTTAGATAACATATTTAATTAAAGAATGGATATATTTTTACAACATTTCATTTATTGTAAGTTAATTAGAATCCTGCTTATCTAACACTGAATCCATCCCCTCCACTGAGAATCCTGTTGATCAAATTATCCCCCATTTGCCAAGATTCCTTGACATCAATGTTTCAAATTAGTAGCAAAATATCGCTCCAATCTCGAAGGGACGTACTCGTCTAAGATAGAGAGACCTCCATCAAAAAAAAGCAGGGGCAGCATAACGCGATTCCAACACTACTAGTATATAGACTAGTTGAGTTTATTTTAGATTTCCTTCCTTATTTTCTTCTTTAACAATATTTCTTTGTTATTTTAAAATAACTTGAATCTTTCCGATTATTTACAGAGACATCGGTGTTATTCTCAAGTACAACAGACAACATCAGACTAGGTAGATAAAACTATACTCCGCTATCAAAATAAATAATTCCTGCAGTTTGTTTCGCTGAACAGGCCCGAAGAAATACTAACCCCTCAAACACCTGTGCGCTCAACCTAAAAATTTAAAATAAAGCCAAAATAAAGCCAAAAGAGGGAACCAAAATAGGAAAGAATACATTGATTAAATGGTATCGCGAATTGCTAAAAATTTGTCCAGAGGGTCCTCATGTTCCTCCGCCGCCAGGTCCTGCTCCAGCTCCAGCGTCAGATCCCAACGGGGCCCCCCCGGAAAGCCCATCCAACAATCCAAGCCCAGATCCAGTGACGGCCTTCCGACTTCCCGCCCCATAGACCATTTCCATTAACTTCGCCTTCTGTCTCTCCCTCACCCCTTTTAAATACTCATAAGCACCTTCAAGACCTTTGATCTGGCCTTCAACCAATAACTCCACCGAACCCTGCGCACCACTCCCAATCCCTCTCCCCACGCACTCCCAATCACCCCCACTACTACATCGACTACTAGCCCCTAATAGCTCAAAACTAGCCGAACCATTTCTCCTGACCAGCTGACTAACCAACTTCCTCCTCAATGTCTCCAGGTTCACCTTGAGGGTCAACAGCTTCCCGCGATGGTCCATTAGAAGATGTTTATTGGCAACCGTCCGCTGCCGCACAGATGACAGTAACTGACGGTTCTTTTCATATTTTCGCAGCGCGGCAGCGTTGGGGCCAAGCACGCGCGTCCACAGTGATGAGAGCATCTCTCCCTCTGCACGTTCCTGCGCATCTGACTCGCGTACAACTGTGCGCTGCAGGTTCAAGAACTGGCGGTCTATGGACTCGAAGAGAGCGAAAAGGGCAGCAGAATGAGTCAGTTCGCTGTTTATCGACTCCTCAAGAACGGCGAGGAATTCGGTGAAGGTATGGGTGAGGGTGCGGTGGGTGCGTTGAGAACGTGTAGTACCGAACATAGTAGTAATGAGAGAGCCTAGGCGGCTAGGGGAAGGAAGGGGAGATTTACTGCCGTCTGGTAATGTTGTTGTGGCAGTTTCAAGAGCGCCGAGGCGCCAGAGGATGGAGTGAAAGTTGTCAAAGAAGATGGAAGGGAGGGAGTTGGCGGGCTGTGATGAGAGGGCCCCCAGCTCACGCTTCGCCCAGTCCATGACGATTAGTATGGAGTCGATGTCAGCGTCGATATTGGCGAAAAAGCGGGTGAGTTCTAGAGAGAGGGTCTTGAGAGATTCGGAGAGCTCGTCGAGCTGGCGTACGATGATCGGGGCGCTTGTCATATTTGTGGCACGCACAGATTCACCCAAATCCCAGACAGCGACTCCAGTTTCTTGCAAAGCGCCGATTTGCTGTACCCCATTTTCGGAGTAGTATATTAGTGGCTCGAAAGATCGTGCGAGGCCGGAAAGTTTGACGAGATCGGGAACAGGGAGGGGGATAGGGGGAAGCAAAAATGCACGAATGATCAAGAAGGATATAATGCCTATGAGAAATGATAACACGGTGTTTGTGCGGCTTTTAGTCATAGAGTTAATTCTTTGGCTGACATAGCTGAAAATTGCAACAAAAGGTTCCCGATGTTGAACTTCCGCGCGCACCGCGAAACGGATATCTACGAAATGTTAGCTCCCGAACGAGAGAAAGGATATAACTGACATGCCGGAGCTTATGGGAACGAAAAATTAGTTTAAAATGGATTGGGAAAAATTGAAAATATACTACAATTTGTAAAATAATCCGGCGCAAGCTCCTCCGGCAACAGTTCAAGTGTGTCCTTTGTATTATTGGTATTGGTTTCTTCCTCCACCCCGGTTTTTTCTTCGAGCTTTATTGATGGTGCGGGACTAGGCGACCTGCCCTTCTGCGGTGAATCAGCACCCATGGGCAATGGTATATTTGCGGGTATCGTGAGGTCGGCGGGGTCATCTCCTCCAGAGCCGATGGGTTTCTCCAGGGCATCCTCATATTGCGGGCTAACTTCTCTCGACCGCAATGGGCTGAAATCATATGGCGGTCCAAAATATGGCTTGTCGCGCAGATATGGTTGATGCCGGTACCAAGCACTGCCCGTTGTTGGGGGAAAGTGTTGCTGTTGCAAGATATACCTCCGTTGTTGGTATCCTGGTGGAGACCATGGGTCACCAGCACTAGAGTCTATATCTGTTTCCGGATCATGATCATTTATGGTTTCGGACTGGAACCCGGAGTGCTGAGAGGGGAGGTCGAGGAGGGGCGAAGGGCGTGAGGAGTCCTCGAAGTCCTCGAGGGAGGCGGTTAATGAAGGGTGATCATCGAAAACATCCAGTTCCTCAAGACGGGTGGGCGTCATGATGGATATTACGGCCCTTGTTCAAGAAGTAGGAAAGGTACAGGTTCAAGCGCCACAGATTTTCCCGATAATGAAGACTGGAAATGTTGTATGTCGAGCGCTTGAGTGCGTTCGCAGATATTTGGCTCCAAAGGTGTGGGCCGGTTATTGAACATTATGCAGCCAGAAAAAGTCGAAAGATGATATTGGGAGATTTGAACGACGAGTAAACGCACATAAACAGGTCGTATTCGACAGTCAGGACACAGGGCACGAAATAAGGACTCTCAGACAGGAGAAGTAGTCGTTAATCACGATACCAACTGAGGGCCCATCAGTGGTCACGTCACGGTCCCGACGACACGGCGAAATCAGCGCGCTATCGGTGAGCAGATAGGCGGCAGTGATAATTTCGCGTGGATGTTGCTGGGGCGAAGAGATACGACGAGGCAACCAGCGTGATTCTTCGCCAGATGTTCATCCAAACACTCAGTTTGCGTGCAGGACTCGTTGGTTGAAGTGTTCTCCCTCTGGTAATAGCGGGGAACATGGGATGGCACTAGTAAGGACAAGCGTCATCTCAACAGCACACCATGGTTTATCATTGGGCAACACCGTCGCAGCAGGTTCAGCCAGCGATGTTGGTGACTGGTGGGAAGTTGGTGGCTAGGAGTGCGTGGTCAAAGTTCCATCCAGCCACCCCGATGCTACAGTCCAGCGGCTTCGTTTGTGCTACACACCTGAGACATAGGTGCACGCACACCATTTGTCGTTTTGTGCTGGAGTGCTTGAGGAAGTGAAGTGCGCGATCAGATATGAGCGCTTTGTCGCGAACCCACATCCTGGCTCCTCCGCTGAGGAGTAGGAAACTTGGAAGCCACACACGCCCTGCCTTGCCAGCGATTCAGGAATTGGGCGGGGGATATCGAGGGCTACACCAGCACTATCACTCCAATTGACCAAGGCATGTCGATGGTTTGGTGTATTTCCAAGTTTTGGTGCTGTCTCGTGGTACGGCGTATACAGAGTAAAAATGTAAAGAGATACTTCTGCTCCCTGGAGCCGCAACCCCAGTTTTAGCATCAGCATGCCTAACTTGGCAATCAAGATTTATTTAACCTTCAGAAGCTACGTTAGCCATCGTTGATACCGAACAGGCGAGCGAATTCGATTATCACCTCCCGGAACGTTTTTCAGATGAGAATATCAATCAAAAATCATGACCAAAACTGCTTTCAAAAAGCAAGTGTTCTTTTAGCTACCAAAGGGGATTAATTTTTAAGTTTATCTATCACTAACTAATGTTTATATAATCTTAATTTAAACCTTTCCTACCCAACTCTTTACCATCAACTTTAAATATACTGAATAGGATTGTCATGCTGCGAGGCCCGGAAGGCCTAGGTATCTCAAGGGATACCTAACTTATATACCGTATATATAGGCTCCGATAACAGCAGTGGCTGTTATCGTGTGTAACCTTTTTGATCGAGTAGTTAAGCCGGGCACCTCGCGTGATCCAGCTCCAGATCCATACTTAAATCATAATTACAGCGATAGATCGACACTTACATCAGACTCTCAGACTTCTCCTTTCATAAAATGAAATGGTCAGATCTATTATAAGGTCGTATATACTTGTACAAGAATTATTTTGTAATATAATGAGTATTAGCTGGAATATACCTCTAGCACTATCTATACCATAAAAATGAATTGATTGAGAGGGGGCAGAAAATGAGAGGCATATCAGCAGAGTTAGACAAGTGCAGTCAAACTAGCTGCCTTTCGAGAAATTATCTTCTTGTGTTAACTTAGGTATATTTTTATGTAAGAAAGATCTATCTATAAATGTAAATATATAGCATCAAACATCGTATTTTTTGGAAGGCATGAGAATATTCAAAAGTTTAAAAAAGAGAGAGAGAGAAAAGCAAAAAGCAAGAACGAAAGAAAATGACCTCATAAATATGCGTTCAATATCTCAAAAGTCATGTTCCTCATCATGTTTTCCTTCGTCACATTCCACATCCCCTCCTTCTTCATCGGTACTACTATTTTCTTTGTCGTGTCGTGAAGTCGGATGATCGCCTTGGGAACTATTTTCCAGAATCCCTGGCTGCTTTCTGCGTTCAAAATCTTGCGCATGCGCCGTTGCAAGCATGGTACCTACGCGAGACAGTGTCCGTGGGATTTCCAGTGAACTTGGCATCCTGCGTTGTGGACTTGGGCCCGGTTGATTCTCCTCATCGCCATCTGTCGCGGCTTGGGAACTGCTCAGAAAACTCAGTTGCGGTGTGAGGAAATTTTGCTCTTCCAATCGCCCAACTGAGATCCTGGCTTGGGAGGGGATTTCGTAGGGAAGCGGGACATCGCGTGAAGCCCGGAACCGTGAGACGTTCGTACAGTGCTCGTTCTCGACGCGGAAAATCGACCACATTCCTCTTCGGCATACTTCGGAGAACGCGAGGAAGAAACTCAGGATGGCCGAGTGCTGATAACCATGGGGGAAAATGGCGTATAATATCCAGTTGAAACGGAGAATTGGATCAATGGCCATCGCTAAGTAATACACCCAGTGACTGTGGAAGGCTAGAGAATCCCGAAGGAAGCGGTTCTTGGAATAGGGGTTACATAGACTCCAGTCCATGGCAAGGTCCCAAATGGAGGCATAGACCGAGTTAATAGAAGCACAGGTTATGAAGATGGCCCGAGGCTGGTCCACTCTCTGAATTCGGTATAGGCTAAGGGTCATGTAGTAGAGGATTGAAAAAGAGTATTTTCCTAGATTTGCAATGTGGGGGAAAACATTTCTAGTATCGAAATAACGTCGGAGGCATTGGAAGGAGCGCCAGATAGATGGAACTGTCGAGAGGAAGCCCATGACTCGTGAGTGTGAGGAATTGCACCTTGGCGCGTTATCCCATCCCTTGCTATATAGACAGAAGAATAATGCAATATTCTTCGATGCTGTTAGCTTCTTGCCTCGACGTGCTTTTATTGAGGAATTACTTACACTCATAGCATATACTTGGGAGCAGTACATATCACCCAGGAAAAAGTCTCGAAACTCGACAGGATAGAAACCCGCCAGTAAAAGGCGCCACTGCGCAACATTAGAATAATTACAGTTGGAATAAGCGAAAGGGGCGAGATAAGCATCAGTGTTGCTTACATTTGAATATGCCCACCATCTTCTACTTCGATGATAGAATAAAGGTATGGGAATAAACAAAATGAGCAGGGTGATGCCTATTAGAATAATAGGCCAGTAAATGTATAAGCTATTCACCCAGCGGAAATTTAAAAATAGAATTATCCCAAGTAATAGGACAAAAAGACAGGGTACCTGCACTGTCGGTTAGCTAGTGAATGGATAAAAATATTTTATGTATTCATAGGTTACCTCCAACAGTTCACGCCAATCCAGTACATGACGAGAATCAAATTCAAAAACGAAGGCATAATTGATTTTGCTGGCACCCCAAATTTTACAATCCATACAAAAAAGAAGAAAATGGAAGAGAGCGAGGAAATAACCGCCGTAGATCTGAGTTTAGTAAATTAGCAAACCATAAACGGCAATAGCAGCAACAACTCAACAAACCTGGAGTAAGTAAGCGGTGTAAAGGCGGACTTGAGGATTCCCATGGAACAACAGGTGCACTGCATATGTCAAACCCTGAACGCCAAGGACGACGCCTCCTGAGAACATCAAGCCATTACGAAAGGCATTGGAAGAATAATCGTAGGTTCTTGAGGTCTTGCTGCGAAGTTTCCGAGTGGCAACCTTACGATTGCCTCTCTCAAAATAGCGCGCGTAAAGGTCCTCGACGGACACCATGTGATTTTCAACAACTTCGCTTTGGACAAACCATGCCTTGTTGACCTTCTCTGAAACGTAGTGACCAGCCGGGCGTGCGGCGGTAACCTTGTCGTACTTTTTGTTCATTTTGCGAAACGCTTTTCGGTTTAGGTCAGCATAGGCCTTGAGGAGCTCCAGACCACGATAAAACTCTATCAAGGCAACTTTCAGTTTCCTTTTGGCAGAGCGATATGAAACGTCATTTAGATCTTCTCGGCGGACGAAGTCTCGTTGCTCATAAGGGTAGGAACACATAGGCAGCGGGCCCGAGGGAGTTGCAAGTTGCTCCATGGCTTCTGAAGTTTTTCTAGACCTTGCTTTACCCAGCTTATTTCCCAGAGGAACCCCCCATTTCCGTGCGGAAACACCAACGTCCGACTCGGAAACCACATTGAGCCGGGTTTTAGCCTCTGCATTCCGCTTATTGGCCATTAGCTCGCCAACTCTAGTATCTCTCATAAGATGAAGCTGGGCTCGTAACACTCCCAGCCGCTCAGTGGCCTCTTTCTCTTTGAAATGATAAAAAGATTCAATTTTTGCTAACTCCTTCTCCAAGAAAGTAAAAAATTCCGATTCTCTATGCCTAAGTGCCATAAATGCATCAACAGGCCCACGAATTGTTGAATGGTCACCATGTGTCCTAGAAGTAAACACCTTCTTCAACAGAGCTTTTGGGCTACCGAGTACTCGACTCGGAACTGAATGGCGACTTGGCTGGACTATATCGATCGCTCCCCGGGGATAGCTGGAGGTAGAGTTTTGGATATGAGGATTTATCAATTCCATCGTTCCGTTACCAGCTTCCCCAACAGTGTTTAAGGCTTGGGTTCCATCCACGTCGCCGCACGGTATCCTCCGGGTTAGAGTTCCAGGACGGAAATGAGGGTCTTCCATTTCCAAGGCAGGGTCTGGAAGTTCCAGGGAGGGAAGGATTGAAGCTGGTACACGCTGTGGGGCGGGGGCTATAATGTTTCCGTCATCGTCAGTCGGCTCATTACACCGGGACCCTAGAGGGCTCAGTGGCTGTCGTCCCTGGATGCCAACATCGAGAGTAGCCCCAAATTTTCCACGAGATAGGTCTTGTAGGGCAGAATCGGACCGTTGGAAGGGAGTAAAAGATTTCAGTCCTCGGGCAGCAGACGCTTGACGAAAGCCGGAACGTGGCGGAGGAAAATCGACAGTGGGACGGTCCTCATGGCGGAAGATATGGCTGAGACGTCTACGATGGGCAGAAGGAGATTGCTGCTCAGCATGGCGAAGTGCTCTCGATATTGCCTTCACCTTCTTTTTGCCAGCCTAGAAGGCAATGCCTGCGTTAGGAATGGTGTTGGAAGCAGTGATACAAAGAGGTCGCACTCAGGATATTTAGCCCTGACAAAAACCCATGCGCACCTTATAATTCAAGTACTTAGCCCTCCACTCAGGTACCAAATCCTCTTCGAGCTCCCTTTGATAAACAATCAGTTCATTGTAACTGAAACCAGGAAGAACAACGGTCCTGAATACCCATGACGTACTTGGCGAACTTCATTTTTAAGTTCCGGGAAAGATACAACAATTCAACCACAACAAAAGGATTCTCAATGGGGATTATCAATGGGAATTGTCAGTGGGGAGCGAGGAAAACAGAGCGACAGGCCAGGAAACACTTAAGTGAATATCAGATGCCTTGGAAGGGTGCGTGCGGCGCATGCGGAGGGTGGAAAGTCGCATGATGCCAGACCAAGCGCAATGACAACCCGAGATCATCTAGGTCCAACCAACTTCAGGTTTGTTCAATTTTCCACTTCCAGGGACGAACATCCCGTGGGCCATGAACCCAATCCAAGGCCTCCCACAAATTCCATCACAAATTCCATGGTTTCCACGTGTGGGGTCAGCTGACCAGCCAGCCAGCCGAAATCGTCGAGCGATTGGTTGTTCTGCGCTGTCACCAGCTTCCCGGCATGGCGCTGGGGGTGCAAGCTCTTCTCCCCGTGGCACAGCTAATTTTGTTGGCTTCTGGCGTCTTAGAACTTCCTATTGCAGACTAGTGCACCCCACATACGAGGCCATAAGTGTGGATCCGTGGGAGGGTTTTGATTCCCCTCGACTACCAGCATGGCGCTTGGTGTGATTGAGTCGCAGGGACTTTGTGCTCTTCAGGGATGACTAATTCTTCCGTGTTTGATTGCTTAGTTTTTTAAGAACGACTCGACTATTTTATTTTTGTTTTATTTTTTGTGGTTTGCTCTTAAAAAGAAATCCGGGCATAGTTTATAAGAGGAGACATTTTAGGGAAAGATCCATCAAAAATGGCTGTTGAATCGCCTTGGGACAGTATTGAATACAACTAGCTGAGCATGGTGTATGCAGGTGAAAAATTGAACAGCCAGTATCGTACGTGTATTCGGAGGGCAACGAAGAGGGGAAGATGAAAACGAATGAATATTCCATAAAGGATAGCAGTTGGATGCTGTTTAAACATGGCCTGGAGAGTGAACACCTTGGGAAGATAGATGATACATTGCAGAGCATCACTGAGAAATATATATGCAGTCAAGAAGGACAGAAGAACAGATACATTCACAGAGAAAAATAGAGGTACTTTGTCCATCACCAGGCAGTTATGTCTTCCACCTCAGCTTCACCAAAAGTGCTATTCTTCGTTAACTTGCCTACTTGTGCTTCAGCAACATTGACATCTTGACTGCCAGGTGCACTCATGATATCGGGAAGCACTTCCCTGAAAAACTCAAGAATATGGCGATTCACCTGTTCGAATTGCAGGAGGAACGCATCATGGCCTTCAGGGCTATCAATGTTTCGTAATCGCGAATCTGGAATACCATCCGCTAGCTCCTGCTGCTCAGCGAACGTGAACAGCCCATCGCTTTCAATACCAATGACCAGGGCTGGCTGTTGAATTTGAGAGAGTGCATCCTTGACCGGGGTCTTCGAGTTAGGATCGACTCGATGTCTGGAGATGTCATGAGTATCGAGCTTCCGTGTGATCGCGATGTAGCAATTGCTGTCGAATCGCTTAACGAATTTTTCGCCCTGGTATCGCAGATATGACTGCGCGGAAAAGTAGGTAGTCGGCCGCTTGGCAGTTTGGAAGGATGTGGAGGCAGGGGAGTCAGGTGAAGCGAAAAGTGTGGTGCCGTTGAACTGAGGATCCGTGAACGTCTGGTGGGATTCCAAGGATGTATTGTTCACCGATGGGAGTGTCGCCGGTAAGTGTCTAGTACTCTTATGGCCATCATTATGCACAGCCAAATGCTCGTTGGGGGGCGTGGGAAGGAGTGTCGTGCCGTTGATATTTTGCTTTCTCGAGGGGTCGGGGACATTTCTGCCAAAGCGCGATTCAAATGAATCTCGACTTCGATAAGTTAAGAGAGCAGACATACGAGCCGCTCCCAGGCCACTCGCAGGGGGGTCATCAAAGGAGTAATAACCGTCCTCATATTTCGGGTCACTGTAAATACTCTGGCGTTGCGCCTCGCCCCAGCTGATACCCCATGCTGAGTGGCGACTTGAAGTGGCGATTGGCACGATGCTTCGTACGTAGTCCTTGCCAAAATACGCATATTCTAAAACGAGCATACCACCCATAGAGCCACCTACTACTGCTGCAATTTGCCGAACTCCTAGATCATCCAAGACGAGCTTGTGGATTCTGGAGGCGAAAGGTGTTAGCAACTTAGGCAAAGAAATTTTGTTGAATACTGATGAAATTATACCTCACGTCATCTCTAATCGTTGTCAACGGGAATTCAGGGCCATAGAGGCCTCTATTACTATCCCCATTTTTATATGTAACAGCGCTCGCGCTGCCATATGGGCTACCTAAACTGTTCAGGCAAATAACAAAAAATCTGGTCACATCAAACGCTTGGCCAGGGCCGCCGAGCAAGGGCCCCCACCAGTCACTGACGTCTGCGCTACCACTCAAGGCATGACATACGACCAACGCATTATCTCCAGAGGGAGATAGGGTTCCCCTTGTGGTAAACGCGACAGGTACATTGAGAAGGGTGACTCCAGATTCAAGAGTGAAAGAAGGGACGATGGCAATCGATTGATCCGTAATGAGGGCGGAAAATGGATTCTCAGGTTGTGAGGAGACTCTCTCTACGGGATTTAGTAGCTGTTCAATCCAACAGGCTTCTTTTCCCTTTCTTTCCCAGAAACAGAGAGGGGCATAGAATGGCATAATACTGACGGTATTTAAAGGTTGAAACGGGCCCATTCTCAGGCCTAGTGCTTCTCGAGGTCATAATTGTCAAGTTATTTGCCTATTACGTGACGAAAAAGGTGGCATTGACAGCATTAAGACTGTTACACCACTTTGGGAGAAACGTGTTTCTGGGTGAGTCGAAGTGTCGAAGTGAGAAAAATTGATGATGCCATGTCCAGCCAATTATATGTCGTCGAAATGACCATGGCAAAAATCTACGGAAGAATATTTTGCCGGCCTACCATTTTCATCCAAGCTATGCTCCATAAATACTAGTACTGAATCTACTTTATTCAAGCCTGCTAGAAATTTAATATTATGATAGCATAATATCAATGAATAACTGCGGGATGTGTAGTAGAAGATGATTCAAGTACTGGTGTGGGAGTGAGAGATTGCTATGTTGTAGTGCCCTCAAATCATCTCTACTATTGTACCACCTGAATCTCCATAATAATCTGGCAATCTCTCCCCCCAAGAAACGATTGATGGGTAGGAGACAGTGGTTGCTTTATATGAGGTAGAAATTCAATTGGCAACATAGATGAGAAGATTGCGTGTCAAAAGTGGAAAGAAGAGAGACTGCAAAGCTAACTGTGAGAAGCAAGTAGATCACATTACTCTATAAAACACGTAAAACCCATTTTTCAATTATGATACTAGTATGTTTGGATCTCAAGGCCGCGCAGAGTGGAAATGGCTATCGCCAAGATGAACGCAAATCCATCATCTTTTTGGAATTTGTTGAACATGTACAGGGGGGTGGAAACTAAGTCCCTCCACGGGCTAGAAACTTAATAAGGTAGCGGGTAATTACTGGCTGTCAAGTTATACCACAAGGCCCAAAACTTCTACAATGAGGACTGTATTTATTTGAGTGAGCTCTTTGTATTGAGACTTCCATTTATATTCCTGGCATGTGCAAGGACTTATTTTCCGCACCTCCATACTGTATATACTTTCGATGTGCCAACAGAAAGGTCGATATCTTGATAATGGAAATTTACCGCATCCCCGTGTGCCCCTCTGACACCAACGTACATTTCGACATAGAAAATAATACTCTCTACGAGGCTAGGCGTTCAAATATCAATAGTAGTATTATATACTAGCACTGCTACCATGAGCGTACGGGTTACCAGATCTGAAACAAGAAAAATTCTAGTAACAATAACCCTAACCCATAGCTAGCAGGTAGAGCACTTTAAGTATGAAACTGGGTGCAGTGGGCAAAGTAGCCTTTACATAGGCATGGAGGGAATAACAATAAATTGGTTGGGGACTAAACGGGATTTTACCTTTGACTTACTTACCTTATGTGGGCAAGAGGAAACTAACCCCTCCATTATTTAAGCACAAGATGCACCCTTAGAACACAAAAGCCACTTGATATAAAAAAAAATGTCATCAAAAACCATAATAATTACAGGGTCCTCTCGAGGCATTGGCCTTGCCGTCGCCCACTACCTCCTCCGCCTCCCTGCCTCCCACAATCTGATCCTCCTTGCCCGTTCACGGCAACCCCTCCAGCAGCTACAGGAACAATACGGTCCTAACCGTGTGGAGATTCTTACTGGCGACTTTGCTACGTCCCATTATTCTTCCCCATCATTACTGTCACTGCCTGAGCAGGCGGTAGAGGTAGCCTTGAAACAGTTTGGAAGGCTTGACGGACTGGTCCTGAATCATGGAACGTTGGGGCCTGTCAGGCGGTTGGTAGATTGTGAGTTGAGCGAGTGGAGAGATGGGATTGAAGTTAATTTCCTCAGTGTGCTAGGGTTTGTGAGTATTTTTATTATTCCTAACTCCTTTTAGTTATGGTTATTTTTATTTTTTACTTTTTTTTTTTTTTACATTTGTTCTCATTTTTGTTTTTCATTTTATTTATCTCTTGTGTGTCTTGAGATGTGATCCAGGTGTAGAATTATTTACAACACCTTGGAAATTTTCAAAACCTGTGCATTGTTTATTCGCTGACTATCAATACATAGCTAAAAGCTGCAATTCCACACTTGCGCAAAACTCGTGGTAAAGTGGTTTTCACATCATCCGGTGCTGCCACATCAGCAACAACAGGCTGGGGATTATACGGCTCCAGCAAGGCGGCTCTGAACCACCTCAACATGACCATGGCACTGGAAGAGCCAGATATCACATCCATCTCCATTCGGCCAGGGATGGTTGACACGAAAATGCAAGAGGAACTGCGAGCGCAGCACATTGACGTTTTGGGACCCGTGCAAGGGAAGAGATTCCTTGATGCCCATACAGAAGGCAAGTTACTCAAACCGGAGCAACCCGGACATGTCATTGCGAAGCTGGTGCTTGATGCTCCGCGAGATTTGAGTGGGAAGTTCCTCACGTAGGTATATCTTAGTTCTCTTGTACTAAGTCGGACCTAGAACGCTGACTCGGAGACAGGTGGAATTGTCCGGAACTGGCAGCTTTCCAAGAGTGATTGGCTCATCAATCAATTTTGGAGGAATTGGTGTGATATAAACTAATGAACGTTTGTTTTGGCGGCATGTGCGTGATCTTGCATCCAGTGTAACACTAGAGCCACGTTCGGGTTTTGGCCGGCCCGCGTTCAACTGTATATCCATCTACATTTCTTACCATGTCCCTCTTTCCAGATGCATCAATAAAGTTTGAGTCATGGCGTACACGCTCCTTAACCTAATTTCAGGTGTACCACCAATGGGACAATTAAAATAGATAAAATAAAATATGCTGGCATATTCATGTAAATTTGTTGACCAAGATTATCAAAATCATCCAAGTAATATCTCATCGTTGTCGTTTCGTTGTTTTTTGCTTCTTTGACGTTTTGTGGGCTGTGTCACTTTTATTATCTCCTGTAATTTCACGATCATTCGATGTAGGGTAACCATTATCTGGAGATCTTTTGCCGGACTTGCGATTCGTTGAAGGCTTGGAACCAGAGGGATTGGGCGCTTTATCTTCATCCGGAACGGGCCCACTGCCCCGCTGCTTCGTTTGAGCCTGGTGTCTTAACCGACTGAACGCCTTCTCCATCCTGCTCTTCCCATCAGGACGTCGATGTGGAGCAAACGCACCCGCTCCCTGAGGCCCTTGAAAGAAGTTGGTGATATTCGATTGAGTTCCCTCCTGTTCTCTGCGGTTCATATCACGAATAACAGGAACAAGCACCTCATCGGTCCTCTCTTGGCTCCATCCAATAGTGGACATTAGGAACTGGCGTAGAGCATTAAGATCAGGTACGCCCCATTGGAAGGCTGAAGGATCGGAATCTACCTTAGGTTCGAGATATGCAGTATCGACGCGTTTGTCCGGAAACCCCGGAGGTAAAAATAACTTCGTGACATTCTTCTTGAATTTTTTTCGAAAAATGGAGTGGCTGTCTTCCGGGAGTTTGGCCCCCATTTGCACTTGAGACCACCAATCCCTAAAATCTTCCAACGTTGGAAATTCAGTGAGGATTTCCAGGGCGCTAACAGGACCCACTCCAGGTATCCCTTCAGTATAGTCACTGCCCAGCAGATGAGCAAACTGAATAAGCTTATTTCGATCCAGATTGTATTCCTTTTCAAGGTCGTTGCTAATATAACATTCCACAAACTTGGCTTGGTTGAACATGTTCTTGTAAACACGAGTGCCACCAAAGAGGAAAATATCGCTATCGTCAGTCACGACGCCATCCACCAATCCCAAGGACAACAATTCCGCGCATTGCGCTTCAGCCTCCATTGGAGCAGTGATGTAAGGAAGGCCGAAAAGTCTGAGCAATTCTTGACATTCTGAAATCATAATATGTGAAACTTCATCGGCGTCTCGCCGAGCTTTCTTTTGCTGGGAACGAAGCTGTTTCAATTCCTGCTCATAATTGAATGCATTTTCAGCCTGACTTTTCGAGTTGAGAGTTGATGCAAATCGCGCATGCTCTTCAGCTTCTTTCTGAAGTTGGTGTATTAATTCGTCATCCTCAGGATCTGAAAAGTCATCACTATCGTGGTCATAATGCGTAAAATTGTTGTGTCGGGATGTGTCATCTGAGGAATTGTACATATGAGGTGCTGTCTGTAGTGCTTCAGAAGGGCAGTAGATTTTGGCATCCTCAAAATCTGGGCTTGGAGGTAAAATTGCTTCTTGTGTTTTCATTTTGGAATTGGATTTCTCGTTCTGTACGCCCTTGTGGTATGTGGGTTCCCACTCGTAAGCTTCCCCATTATTCTCGACGGAGCCGCGATTATCAGCCCCTTGTTCAGCTGTACCCTCTGGTTCCGTATGCTCCTGGGTTGATGAAAACGTGTTTGCAAGTGGTTCGCGGCTAGAGACTGGTGGATGGCAGGTTCTGCAATTGGAAGCATTTGACTGAATCGGAACGCGGTGCGCTTGGTTATCTCTGCCTGTAGTTTCAAGCTCGTTTATCTCAATTCCCCGAGCAACACCCACGTCAAAGTTGATCATTTCGCCCTCCTTAGGAGTATTATCACATCGTCTTGCATCACTAGTTGGATCAACCCCATCAACCTCATTGCCGGGGTCTTGGTTTAGAAGTGTTTTCTCTGTGAGTTTCACGTCGAACCATGGCGGGAGAGCCTGTGGTATCCTCTGGCCATTCGATGTGGGTTCCTCTGAGGGCCCAGCTACGTTGATAACCTTGTCCCAAGAGGTTGGCTTGCGAATTTTCAAAGGTTCAAAAGGTAGTGGTCCGTCGAAAGGATTCGAAATCGAAGCATTGGGCTTGATATTCATTGCTTTAGACTTAGACAACGCAGCAAAGAAATTCATGTCCTCGTCATCGGCTATATCGGAAACATCCTCCTCGCCAATCGCAACCCTGCTAATTTCCTGATTTTTATCAGACGACGATGACACATCTAATTGAAGAACGGCTTGGTCGTTGCCTGTTTCCAGGGACATTTGTATTGCGCGGAGGAGATCGTCGTTGTCAGAGGTATCTTGGAATCTCGAGTATTTATGAAGGGTACCATGATCAATTGTGCTTCGAGAAGGTTCTTCTAGAACAAAAAGTGAATCCTTTCCTGAATTCGTCTGGTCGAGGGATTTGTCAACTACTTCTTTCGTTCGGTGATCGGTGACTTTCCTGGAATGCTCGCCAAATTTCTTATCGAAGACGCCTCTATCAAATACTGGTAACTTAGGCATCCTGTTAAGCCCCTCAATAGGAACATCCTCAAAGTCCTCATCCTCATTTTCCAAGGCATTGTGGTCATCGGAGAGCAGGTGTTCTCCATACTCCTCAACATCAATTGGTTTGTTACGTTGACCTTCGTCCTTGTTTCCCAATACTCCCAATGCCCAGCCTCCTTCTACTCCACTGTTTTTCACAAGAACATACTCCTTGCCTCTCTCACCAGCAATTCTAGAGTTACCGCCTATCTCATATAAAGAGTCATCATCAGTCATACCGCTAAGGTGCATCAATCTCTGCGTTAGATCATTTCGCTCCTTCACGCGTTCAATTTGGAACCTGGAGAAAGCCATCCGATCCGGAAACATATTGTCCAACTGTTCCTTCGAATAGCCCATTCGAAGCCTACTTCTTAACCTAGCTGCATTCAAAATGTTATAGCGATCACTGGGAGGCAAATTGACAAAAAAAGGACTGTTAAAGTCGATCTTCGAAAAGTCGTAAAGGCTAATATCTTCCCCCGAATGGAACTGACGTGCATACTCCTCGAGTTCTTCATGTGACATTATACGAGGATCGTTGGGAGCACCCATCTCAGCAAGAGAAACATCCAATTCGGGAAGATGATAAGCATCCTGCTTGCGAAACTGCCTGTTTTTCTGTCGTTCTTCGGGTGTCATATTCAGCTCGTCCACATACACGAAATGGTCCGGGAGTGGTTCTTCAGGTTCAAGATTGTTCGCTCTCATGCGTCTTTGTGTTTCTATCTCTTCCTCAGCTTTTCTCTGGATTTGAACGGCCAAAATTTTTCCAGCAGTTCTGGCCGCATTTTCCCTTTTTCCTTCTCGTCTTTGTTTCCGAGACATAATCGTCTGTCGCTTGAGAGTCGGCGCACCCCCGTCAAAGACGAAGACAGGTTTGATACCAAAATAGAGTAGCTTGCAGATTCGCTGGAAGAAGCCGACAATATGCGCGTTTCGAAGCGCGTTTCCTTCCTTATCACGAACTGCCTTAAGAAATTGGTATATCCATATTGATGCATCAACAGCAAGTCGCTTTCGATTCAAGGTTTCTATCTTGATCGGCCTAGCACAGGGTTTGACAACCGTCCAGAGGCCAGTAACACCCATGATAAGTTGACTATGGACTCTGAACGAGTTTGAAACGGCGCACGAAAGTGGTTGGCATTCAACATCAACTGATGGCACAGGCCCAGCTAAGCCCCGGCGCGTGAAGTCAAAGCACGAGATATCGGATTATAAATTATCCGGAAATCGCGGCACGAGGAATCCGGGCTTGGCGTTAAGAGTGAACGCGGCTATCTTCGGCGGCGGTCACGGGAATCCCAAACCCGCTCGCTGGACGAGCTGGGAGATGGAAACGGGAAATGGTTAAGTTGTTATGAACCCCAGGATGATCATCTTCTCTCCTCACTTATTCTCTACCTATATTGCAAGAAAATGGCAACATTGTCCCGAAGAGCTGTGCGAAAGCAGCTGCTGAACTCATTGTGCCGTCTGTACTCAACGCATGTCCCCTCACCTGCGGCACATCTTAATTTGCCGATCAATTATGGCACAACTCCCCTCCTTCACCATTCTCCGTCCACAATATCCTCCTCTGTAGAACTACCAAAGAGCGGAGCGACGAAACGAATAAACCTGTACCAGTCTATCAATTCAGCCCTCCGGACTGCTCTTTCAACGTCAGATCAGGTCCTCTTGTTTGGGGAAGATGTCGCCTTTGGAGGAGTATTCCGCTGCTCTGTGGATCTACAAACCGAGTTTGGGTCGGAAAGGGTATTCAACACTCCTTTGACAGAGCAAGGAATTGTAGGGTTTGCAATTGGCACTGCTGCTGAAGGGATGAAGCCAGTGGCAGAAATTCAGTTTGCGGACTATGTGTATCCTGCATTTGACCAACTCGTCAACGAGGCTGCGAAATTTCGATACAGAGAGGGAGCGACGGGAAGCCATGTTGGAGGCCTCGTGGTGCGAATGCCTTGCGGAGGTGTAGGGCATGGTGCCTTGTATGTAACAGTAAACCCTCCGTCCTACAATTCTAGTTTCGGATCAACCATCTAACATCGTACTTAAACTTGAAGGTACCACTCTCAATCTCCAGAATCACTTTTCACCCACATCCCAGGACTACGAGTTGTCATGCCTCGATCGCCCACTCAAGCGAAGGGACTTTTGTTATCTTCCATTCTCGAATGCAATGACCCTGTAGTATTCATGGAACCCAAGATCCTCTATCGTGCGGCAGTGGAACATGTCCCGACCGAAGCATACACTCTCCCTCTTGACAAAGCAGACGTAATCAAGCCGGGGAAAGATTTGACTGTCATATCATATGGTCAACCACTTTATCTCTGCTCGGCAGCAATTGAGGCGGCTGAAAAAGCTTTCAAAGGCGTCAGCATCGAACTGATTGACCTCCGCACCCTCTATCCTTGGGACAGGTCGACAATCCTAGAGAGTGTCCGGAAAACTGGAAGGGCAATTGTTGTCCATGAAAGTATGTTGAATGCTGGTATTGGTGCAGAAGTGGCCGCCACCATTCAGGAAGGCGCTTTTTTGAGCCTGGAGGCCCCTGTAAAACGTGTTACTGGCTGGGATATCCACCCTGGCTTGATCTACGAGCGGTTCAATATGCCTGACGTTGCGAGTAAGTACCATTTATTTCCGCAAAGCCACGGCATTGTCCAAGTTGGATTTTCCTGACATGGCATACCTATTAGGAATCTTCGACGCGATTAAAACGTCTCTTGAGTACTAAGCTCACGGTTTTCCAATAACCTTATGCACCCAATCGTCTAAGAGTTGCAGAAATCCCTTCAGTAGAACATGTTGAAAAGGTGCTTTCTACCTTTTCCGAGCTGCCATTCATCGTTTTGATTCGATCGGCCAATCTTCCAGGTTCTTACCTCTGCAATATGCAGAGTTTCAACATTCTCATTCGTGGTGATCCTGTCTCTGGGCCTCTTTTTGGTTTCGAGAATTAGATTTTATATGATTGTATCATTTGTCAAGCATTTTATGAAAGAGATGTGCCACTGCTGTCCTAAACATAACTACTGTATACTTTTTAGAAATTTGCAGCCTAGATAAACCGATACGGTTGATTTACATATGTGCTGCTAATTAACTGGTTAATTATATTTACTGTTGATAATGTAACTCTGTTGCTAACAAACTAAATTCACTTTATCAGACACTGCAAGGAATATGTTGAAAAGATTTCTTCTTGAGATAAACAAGTATCCATCACTTGCTGCACTTGCTTCCCATTCTTAAGAGTACCCACCACACTCACTATGATCTGTTATATACTAGTAAATCTAAAAATATTCAATATATTTTATTCAATATTCTGTTGGAGAATATAGTATTTTAGAATAATGTCAATAAAGAAAAATACAAGTAATTATCAAGTATTCATCAGCTGCAAACAGAAGTGATGATGAAGTATATAGTAAGAGATGGTTTGAGGGTAGGAGAGGGAGCTTGCCTCAAATCATCTCTTATAATATAATAGCCTTCTAGTTACCCCTGAAGTAGGCAGAGATTGCTATCTAGTAACTATATGATGATTGAGATTCAATTAGAATAATTTACAGCAGGAGTGTCAGGAGCTGTAAAGCTAACCTTTAGTTAACAAGCTAGCAGACCTTGCACTTGTGCAAAACGCGCCCGAAAACCCGTTGCTCAGTTATTTTTCAAAGAAGATGCAAAACCACTCTGGATGTCCATTGGGTCAGACAGTCTTGTAGCACGACTTGGCCAGAATGTGGCTGGAGTTCAAGATTGGATTAGTACAAATTTTTGGGCGAGTGGATGGATGAGTTTACTGAGACAATGCACGCCATCCTAATTAAGTTATTGAGGAGTAACTATGACTTGCATACAGCGTATTCACCTTGGAAGATCTCAAGGTCGACCACTAGAGCCTCGACAGAAAATATTCGTAAAAAGGATTACATGGACGGAATACTCCAGCGCATGCCCACTAGTTACAGACTTGTACTCGTGCACATGACAAGCCCCTCTCAGCGTGAAGCATCCATGGATGGAGCATGGCAACCCCGGCCGTTTTGGCTGTGGAGACTTCCTGCCTGAATGCGGAGAAAACCTTGGCTGCCCAGTTCGGCTCACGAGGAAGTTGGGAGCAAAACGTCAGTGCTGTTGGAGTTCAAGGCACATCAACACACTGTCCCTGCGTCACAGTCTTTCTCCCTCCGTTTCTCTGGCAGGACAGGGTATTCCGCTCCGTCTTTTTGATGATCCATCCGCTCAATACTCAGTTAGTGATGGTAACCCATGCTTAGCGACTCATTTTTGCTCTTGCCCGATCGCGCTGACTGTCCTATCCTCAGCTCAATCTGCCGTTGAACTTCCTGGGTCTCCAGTTTCAAAATGGAAATTCGCGAATTAGAGGGGAAGGGTATGCGATTCTAAAAAGCTATTTCTCTCTTCCTTTGGCTTCTTTTTTACTAGTTCCCTCTTGTCTTTCTGTGTCTGCGGATCTGTCGATTAACTTGCTAATCATACCACATCTTGTGCGTTGCAGAAAAACTCGAGGAGGTATCGCGATTGGTAAAATCACTTGCCAAGGATATAAAAACAAGCCATTTTCAAGCTTCTCGTATGTTGCTTTCACGCTGCAACCTATATTCGCCCAATAATAAATATTTCTGTGGACTAGCTGCCTGACTGTGGGCCCTGTGAACAGAACGTATCGAGATTCTCCAGCAGCTTCGAATCCATGGACGGAAACCGGAAAATGCAGACAGCATGTATTCAAGAGAGGTACGATCGGGGAAAAAAAAGAAGGGGTGGGTGGGGGGGGCCGCCCGGAGAGTGATACCACACAATATGCTTATTTTCTTCTTTTGTATTTAGGGGATAAAGGTACTGGCTTATTATGGCTTTGACGTGAAATCCTCCACCGTATCGCGCGAGGCTCTCCGTTGTCTCGCAAATGCCCTCCTCCTTGAACCAAGCATGCGCCAGATATTTGTGGACTTGGGATACGGGCCTAACCTCGCAGATCGGCTCAAGGTAGAAAATCTGTCAACACTGAATGCGATCTTGTGCTGATTTTGTGACTGCAACTATTTTCAGGAAGAAAATTCTGATGATGAATTTTTGGCATCGCGTTTGCTATTCCTAGCCACCTACGACACTGATTTAGACTTTGATAAATTGTTTGATAACAACAATCTCGGGGAATATATCAATAATGTATGGGTTTTACTATCCGATCTCTTGCACAAACAGCAATTCTAACAGGTCATCACAGCACATATATCGACATTCGAAACGATTCTCCAAAGCCAGAAAGAAGAAGCTCGATCAAATGGATGAGCTTGCACTCTCAGAAACGTTAAAACTGATGTTCAATATCACCAACTTCTACCCTCACCGAGTTGACGCATTCTCGCCTTCAATTCCGTATATTTTGAAGATACTAAGCCGCATTGAAATACCCACCCCGCCGCTCCAGGCCCCTGTCAACTACCTCATCAACTCCCTTCTTAACCTCGACCTTGAAGCAAAGAAAAGCAAACACTTCGGGACAAACCCCTTGTTTCCCAAATTCGACCAGAACTGCAATGTAGACAAGTTGATAAATATTCTAGATCAAGCTGTCGCGATGCATAAACCCCAACACCTCGAAAGTCTAGCCGTACCTCTTCTCACATTGTTACGGAAAATCTATTCCTTCGCACCTGAAGGCCCAAAAAAATATATGGAATGGCTGCTCCTTCCTGAAGATGACGACCATGACCTTCCTATCGGCAAATCAAATACACTCTCCTCTCGCCTCCTGCGTCTATCAACTTCGCCTGTAGCCCCAAGTCTCCGTGAAGGCATATCCGCTCTGATGTTCGAACTTTCTGGTAGCGATGCAACTGATTTTGTGAGAAATGTTGGGTATGGATTTGCTGCCGGTTTCCTCATGTCGCATGATATGCCGGTTCCAGAGACAGCCAAAGAAGCATTCAGCACCAGTGCTGGTGGGCTTGATCCAAATCTGAATCCCATTACTGGGCAGAGATGGGATGCGGAACCCCAAGATGGAGGCCCGGAAATGACAGAGGAGGAAAAAGAGCGAGAAGCAGAGAGATTGTTTATTTTGTTTGAAAGGTATGTTCACATTATTCATCATATTTTATTTTTACCATTTGCTAATTGCTTTGCTTGGTTATATTCTACAGGCTAAAAGCTACCGGTGTGGTTGACGTAGAAAATCCTGTCAGTGCTGCTCTCCAAACGGGGCGATTTGAAGAACTGGACTGAAGTCCGTAGTTTACGAAATATCCTTATCTGGTGTTTTGAAATATACTCCCACCTGTTTTTGCTGGTTATACTAAATGGGTTTCTCTTTTTTTGCTTTATTTGATTACAGTTCCAAATTACCCCATATGAATGCATCAATCGTGTGCTATCTTTCTCCGCTTGATATATCCCCTACGTACCAGCCATTGATTTAAACGCCATTATAAACCTTGATAATTGTGTATCCGGCATTAATATGCAATTCCCAATCCAATGAGAGTGCACATGATTTTATCGTGTTCTCCTCCCAATTCGCAACCCAATATCATTGATTACAAACGGAGCGAAATTCTATAGGGGGCGAAAATGTTGTTCAAGGTTTATTCTAACAGAGCCTCGAGAACCACTACCTTCCCCACAGCATTCATCCTAAAATAACTTGAACTGATGGGATATTATTCTTATCAGATCTCATGCAGTTGGGGGACGCTCCGATATCACATCATGTATAGTTTAGTGGAAACACTAGCTATATCTGAGTAACCTCTGAATCTGGAGAATGCTGGCTATCTCGCTGCCTTATCTACCCATCACAATTTAAATAATCTTGTCTAATGTCAAAATAAAGGTTTTCCGGTGCTATAAGTGATGTTGCTAATATATTATATTAAGAGATTTAAAATAAGGCTTACGGCCATTAACTATCTTATCAAGTAATTGTGATACAGTCTCCGGCAATAAGTTTGAAACCCCCCCCCTGTGATGCCAAGATAGAACTAACCCAAACTCAGTTATGTCAGTTTGCTGCTTTTACTCTACAATTTTCCCCTTTTCCAAATCCAGAACAACAGATTTTAAAATGCTGACTGAAAAAATCTTTGATAAGATTTTCATTATTAATCATAGCAGTACTTATTTAGAACTTATTCCACTAGCACTAGTTTCAGTTTATCATATATCTTATTATACAAATGACAATGATTTTTTCATATTTCTAGAGAGATTCTAATACTACTAACTCTATTTAGTCTCTAACTCATAGTTCTAGTATTTATTTGTAGTATAGATGATGAGAAATGATATGAGCTGAGTGTTAGTAATATATCTAGATTCTAGTGTGTGTAGATTTAGTGAGTCTTCAAGACCCATATTTTATTAGTCTTATTCATAAAGTCAATAAAGTGGTCTTACATAAAATATTAATAATATTTTCTACACTAGTGAGGATGAGCATGAAAAGCAGCTATATGGATATTAACGCGATATAGCTAGCATGAGCTCGGCCGCCTGAGGGGGGGTTTCAAACAGTAAACTTATTGCCTCACACTGTATAAGTACAGTGCCTTGCAATAAGTTTGAAACTATTGTGACTTCTCATCAAAATCCACTAGTCCAAAAGTAGTTTAGTAGTTGTAGTGTTTATTGCAGAACTAGTTCTGATTAGACTGGCCGTGTGACCATGCATGGGACTGGGACCAAATTTTTCCTCAGTCCCATTATTAGATATCTTAGTCCTGGTCCCATATAGTGTTTAGTAAATTAGTCACTTTACACTGTTTATATTATAAATCTAGTCCCAGATCATGTTTTACTAATAAATTAGTGGTCCCAGTCCCATTTGGTCCCATTTTACAAAATGGGACCAAATGGGACCATGATTTACCCTATATAGGTTGGCAGCGATAGATTAGCAGTGATAGATTAGCAGTGGTAGGTAGGTTGGCAGCGGTAGGTAGGTTGGCAGCGGTAGGTAGGTTGGCAGCGATAGATTAGCAGTGATAGATTAGCAGTGGTAGGTAGGTTGGCAGCGGTAGGTAGATTGGCAGTGGTAGATAGGTTGGCAGCGGTAGGTAGGTTGGCAGCAATAGATTAGCAGTGATAGATAGATTAGCAGCAATAGATTAGCAGCGATAGATTAGCAGTGATAGATTAGCAGTGGTAGGTAGGTTGGCAGCGGTAGGTAGATTGGCAGTGGTAGATAGGTTGGCAGCGATAGGTAGGTTGGCAGCAGTAGGTAGGTTGGCAGCAGCGATAGATTAGCAGCGATAGGTAGGTTGGCAGCGGCATAGATTAGCAGTGGTAGGTAGATTGGCAGTGGTAGATAGGGGATCTAATAGCGAGCCATCAGGGCATTGAGCACTAAGCAAGATAGGGGTAATATCTCCACCAATCATATCATCAGATTGATGTATTATATAATCATCAGAATGGGACCAAACTTGAGTCAAAATCATGATCAGTCCCAGATCATGTTCTGATTTTGATAGTCAGTCACTTTACATGGAATATCAAGATTTTTTAGTCCCATTTCACTCATGTTTTGATAATTCTAGTCACTTTACACTCCCATTCTGATCCTGGTCCCACTAAAATAATGCCAAGAAATGGACTGGGACCAAACCAAACCAAACCAAATGTGAAATTCATGGTCCCACCGGCCAGTCTAGTTCTGATTGATTAAATTACATCTGGAAATCAAATATTTCCACTCAATAAAGAAAACATGTGAGGAAGAAGATAGAAAAAATGAATAAAAAAGTAGAGAATGGTGTAGATGAGTGGAAAAATACAGGTAAATGGATGCATTTGTGACACTATAACTACAACTAATTACTACAAGTTAAACTACTTTTGGATTAGTAGATTTTGATGAGAAGTCACAATAGTTTCAAACTTATTGCGAGGCACTGTATTTCTTTTCATAAACTATACTTAATAATGCTAGTAATATAGGGAAATTTGACTGTGTAACACCATGAAAAAAAATTCGTAAATTTGCTTTACTCTGTTGATTTTAGCAGTACTTCCGGGAACTCTCCTGTATCTAAAAATGGTATGTGACTAGAACCTGATCTCCATTTAAGACTCATTTGAAGTATGTTTGCATTGTGGATTTAAGAGGCGTGTTTGCTCACCTCCCAAAAGAGGTGTACTATTATATATTTATTCTTTAAATTTCTAGCAACTACTGTACGTATATACAGCCCTCTCTTTGGTTACATAGACATCAGGGACCTATACATAATTGTGTTACAGTGTTTCCCTGCCCATTTGCCTTCTTGTTATTTATCTCTTGAAGAAGCCGAAGGACATCAGCTACCAAATACAGGCTACCGGCAACTACCAAAGGCCCACTTTCACCACTTTCACCACCACCTTGCTTTGAGACTTCATCGGCCCACTCCAGCGCGGACACAATATCACCCCCAAAGTCCTTCGATTGCGCTAATTCACGCGTGCTGTCACTGTCGCTGCCGCTGCTCCTACAACTGCTTACTGCAGATAGCAGCTCTGCGCTTTCCACACTCCTCACCCACGGCATCCCATCAACAGGCCCAAACTGGACAACGGCAACATTGTCACCAGGCCTGAGCATGCAGCTGAATAATTCTTGAGTGTTCTTGCCCTGCGACGCAGCAATTACCCAAGTAACACTAACATTGTTTATCTTCTCATGACTGGATGGATGTTTTCGAAGGTTGCGGTCTACATACGAGCAGAGGACACGTGCCGATTGAGGGTTATGTGCACCATCAAGGAGGATCGGTTGGCTGCGGGAAATAAGAGGGTTGAGGGAGAGTTCCTGCAAACGGCCTAGTCGTGGCGTTTTAGGGATGTGTTGGAATAGGCTTGGCAATGGTAGAGATGACGGCAAAATGCCCTTCTGCTGTAGGGCGGCGACTGCACAGGCAATATTCGCCTTCTGGTGTGGTTCAATGTTTAGGCATTTGAATATCTTCGCCAGCTCAGGGAATTCTTCCATGATGGATTCTGGGTTGGTGATGATGAGCGGTGTTTGCGTTTCCCATCCAATTCCCTCAAGGGTAGTTAGAACAGCCGGCTCATTTGTCCCATCAATGACACAGGGAGTCCCGGGTTTCATAATACCCGCCTTCTCCCGCGCGATCTCCTGAAGGGTATTGCCCAGGATCGCTTGGTGGTCATGGCCAATCTGAGCAATGATAGACACAAGAACATTACTTTTATTCAAGATATTTGTCGCATCCAGGCGGCCGCCCATACCCACCTCAACGATCCCAACATCGACATTTTCATGTGTGAAGATTTCAAATGCAGTGGTGGTGAGCAGCTCAAACTCAGTTGCACCAATTCCTAGTGATTGATTGCGGAGTTTGACATTGTGTTCTATCTGGCGGAAGAGAGGTTCGTGGACCACACAGTTGTCGATTGTTATACAATCCCACCGGTCGATGAGGTGCGGGGAGGTGAAGGAGCCGCACCGCACACCAGCTGCTGTGAGTAGAGCAGAGAGGTAGCCTGTAATGGAGCCTTTACCATTTGTGCCAGCGATATGGATGGCTCTCCAAGGCAGGGAAGAGGGCTGGACCAATTTAGCAATGCGGGAGAGTCCGAGTTGAATCATCCTGTCCCATCTGTCCTCACGAACCGGCGGGTCTCAGGAATCAAGGACAGAAACTGGCCAATGCTTGACCTCAGAAGCTTAGCCCCTCGGCTATAGTGGATCGAGTGTCCAATCAGATCTCTAGTAAATCTATAGAGTTTGCATATTATCCCTGAAAGATGAATTCCTTCAGTGGTTAAAATTTCTAGTTGTGTGTCCTTGAAGGAGGCGGGTTACTGTTGCTCAAACACTAGTCCGCAATAGGAAGTCTACCTAATATCATGCTCCAACAACTCAATTTCCTTCGAAAGCCAGGTCTAGCGAACAGCGAAGCGCAGAAATAGAAAACCTCACGATAATAAGGCTAACAGCTTACCATAAACGCCAAAGTGAAAGGAACGTGCCATTGAGAATAATCTATAATACAACCAAAACTAGAGCACATACCACCAATCAACGCAACCAGTAACTTCTGTTAATATGCAAATACATCGCTTCTTCTGTCCTGAAACAGGGAATGGGGAGCCTCTCTGGTGGCTTCATTGGTCCAGGAGCCAATTTCTTACTTTCAATCTCAGTGCTAGCTTTTCGCTTGCCTTTGCCAAGCCTTGTATCTCCACGGTCAATCTCAACTGGGAGGTATGACTCTTCCACGACTACCTGCACAGGGCACCGTCTTACGTTGCCGAGATGTATTGTGGGATCAAAACTGATCAAAATTATGGGACGTTTACCACCCGATGTGGCAGGCGCTGTTGAGTAAACCATAGAGCGTTCATCGGAGGTAGCATCCACATCCCCACATCTTTCAGGAGGGCAGAGTAGCGATAGAAGTTCCGGGTGGGAATTTAGAGGAGGCCACAGCTTGATCCCGCGAGATTCGAAACGCTCGTCGCTGTTTGGTATCGGTTCCTTTTGATTATCCAGTTCTGGCGGATGCAAAAGGCCGTCCTCACCTATGGGGTTTCTGCGCTTCCGGGAACCTACACGAAGCCGTAATCTATCTATCTGTTGTTTTGATTCAGAATTATCATTAACCAAGTCGATAAAAGCTGACGCAGAATGGTTGTATGTTCGATATTTTGTTTTTGCAAAAATGAAGTCTCTGGCCATAGATGAAGACAGCTCATTTTCATCATATTCTGGGTGGTAATTTCGGCGGAGGCGAATTTTGGGAGGTTGATAATTAGGCTTGCTGCGGCCATCGAGAGCTGAAGTTAATGGATCATCAGGAAGAAGACGAACCGAAAGATATTTAGGAAATCCGGGACTGTAGGACTCATCGCTTGAATGGGGTTCCCTTCCCGTTTGTGAATCTTTGCCCTGAAACAAGCCGTCCTGCTTTGAAAAATCTGTCTTGCAGCATGAAAGGGGTTGCATATAGTATGTCCTATAATTTTTACTGCCAGCACCGCTCCATTCTCTTCGACTTTCGATGATTAGGGGTTGATTCGTTGCATCGTCTGATTGAAGTGAGATGTTAGTCCACATGTCGTGGATCGGGCCTTCGCGGTGTTGTCGACGCCACAACGCACGCCATTCGACATTGTGAGGAGTTTGTACTGGAAACCGAATGCAAATATAGTAAGAAGTCCAATCAATTTCTTCATCTTCAAATCTGTTGGCGTTTGAAACGGCGTAAAAGTGGTTATCATGGAGTTCAAAACAGATTGAAGACCCGATTTCAGATCCGACAAAGTTTTCCAATTGGACGGGGCGTTCTGCTAGGGGTCTCCTCTCAACCAGGTCCCAGCCATGAATTACCCATTCGTGGTGGCCATGCTCGGCAAACCGAGAATGAGTTCCATAAAATAAGACCAAATCATTGTGGCGTACAAATATTCTTCGTGAGGATTCAAGCTGTTTCAGGAAAAGCAGTCTCCTGTTCTCTGAAGTAGATTTCTCACGAATATCAAGGACAATTAGCCACGGTTGAAGGCCGGCTATCTCACACAAGCCTGCGACGATGCCGTGGCTATAATTCAGAAGAGAAAATTGCACTCCTTGGTTAAAATCGGGAGGCACTCTCCAGGCACCAAGCAACACAGCCCCAACATTGACAACTTGCTCTTCCCGAGCAGCTCCATGCACATCAAGCGTACGGATCTCGCCTTCATCCAAATAACATAATACACCTTGGTTGAACAAAAATGACTCGCCATATGCAACCAAACATGCCGAGTAAGGTTGTGCAGTTGCCACGGCCTCACGCACGTCATATACTCTCCTGAGAGCCTCAATATATGTGATCTTTCCTTTCGCAGCCAATTTCCCTTCTCTTGTGTGGGAAATACATAACTTTGCAAGGTGTCAGTCCGTAACTAGATCATCAAGAAGTTGACCTTATATCTAGATGCGTTAGGAAACTTACTTGTACTGTCTTGCGGGCGGTGAGGTCACTTTTCAGCAAAGAATATAATTGCCGGTTGACAAAGCTCAAGTTAATGTAATCTTGAGGATCGAGACAAGAAGCAATTTGATACCATAAATCAAAGGGGATATCATCAATAGTGGTAGTCGGCATGATATAAGCAGGTAATGTCTAGGGGTACCAGCGAGGAGCCGCGGTCCATAAGCATCGAGGAGTAGAGAATAGAATGGGAAATGGCAACGTGGTAATGTCACCTTTCCTAGCGGGTTTATATATGCTGTTGTCGATGATGAGGCTGAAAGTTTGGAGTCCGGAAAATAGCATTTGAAGCTGGCACCACCACCCAAACAGATCCGACAGGGCCACATAAGGCTGGGGGTTTATTGGTGCATTCCTAGTCGCATAAAGGAGCAATTTCCGGGACGTTTATTTGTCAACCAATATTGCCGGATTCAAGCTTATCAGTCCCGAGGAGTGTGTCAATTCTTCCGCTAACATGAGGCTCTGCGAGAGAAAACAAAACTTTTCATCAACGCGCTGGCCATGTTCGCTTGCTTCCCAGGTTGTGACAAGCCGGCTAGTCCCAGCCTGTGTATTTTTAGGTTCCCAGGATCTGTTCATCTTGGTCATGGGAGGCTCCAAATGATTCTCTGGAATGGCCTACTGCGTAATACTACTGAGTGGCGAAGCGACAACAGAAACAATAGGGCGGCATCGATTGGCTGGAACTTGTTCCTGGATGTGCTGCGTTTGAGCCGCTTAACTCAGCTTTTCCCTGCAACCCCCCACACATCCCTCATAATACCCATGACAAGAACAAACCCTTGAGCGGGTTCTGATGCAATGTTGACCAGAGTGGCTTCTCTATTATTAAGTAGTATCTAGTAGTTAATATTATTTCAGCCAACAACGCCGTGGTATCCTGTCGGCCAAGTTTTCGCGCACTCCGTTTCCTATGTAAATTGACGCAGTGTCGCGTGTCTCCAAGTGGTGGTCGCCCCTCCGACTTTGAAATTTTGCCAAAAGAGGTTTCGGTTGTGTCCGCTATGAAGAGATGGAGGAGTTGTATCTTGAGCATCGAAGGGTGATTGGGCTAAACTACGCCATCGTTGTAGCTGCCAGCCAATCATCCCTAGAATTGCTGCTCAGGCGTACTCCCGGAGTTGCATATACATACGTACGTACTAGTACAGGATAATCCCGGTGGGTGGCTCTGCACAACGCGCATTCGCCTTCGGCTTCTCGTTACGGCTCTTTTTTCGCATCTGTCCGGGGGTGTGGAAGATCACTCCTTGCACACACTAGAGATTAAATGGAAATCTCAATACTTGAGCCCAAATGAATCCAGTGTCTCAACATCAATTATGACAGCCAAGCTTTAGGCATTAAGCCTCTAAACTCGACCAAGTGTTTGGGGACTTGGCTTGTCAACTAGTTGACTGATTTGTGCCACATGCTTAACTCTCCTTAAAAATGTCTGGTGTATTCAACCATGATACAGGTGTTGGATGCGGCTCTGCCCTGTGGCTATTTGGGGGGGTGCGAAACAGCAAATTGCCATCATCTTTTCTGCTCTTTTTCTTCCAAATCAACGGTCCAATTTTCTCCCCCATATTTTCCCCTGCTATCGGCTGGCTCAATAATGACCGCAGTGGGAATGTATTGTGGATTCACGTAATCCACTACTCAGCACCCATGCTGTTTTCCATATAAAATCAAGGATGATCAGTTATATCTCTCAACAGCTATTGTGTTAATTCCCTATGTGACTTGTAATTTATGGATGTAGATGAATATTTTTAACAAGTATTTTAAAGTCCAAAATCGTCTTTATATTGTTGAGCTATAAACCTGTATATTGTAAGTTAGCTAAGTGCTTTGGCTTTTAAATTACATCAGCGCCACTGACATCCACCTGCTCCTCTGATATGGCCAGTCCTCGATTACTAGTGCTTCTCCGCATGAACACGGCAGCAACCACACTCACCAATCAATCGTAGGGGTGTATACTTAATGGGCCGAATGTAATTTATAGGGGAAAACACTACCAATATATAACATTGTAGCCTTCTGAGTCTTCATTGTGGATGCTCACTTGCAAACTTCTTCTTCAACGCCGCCACATCAAGTCCACAAACCTCTGCCTTCTTTACAATATCTCTTGACCTTTCCACAACAGGAACATCAATCATCATGCCATCCAATGTCCATGCACCCCTCCCATCCTCTGCTGCCTTCGTATCAGCCACAATAACCCTCACTGCCCACTCCACCTCCTTCAACTCAGGACTGAAAAGCTGCTGCACTAACTCCACTTGAGATGGATGAATACACTGCTTCCCATTGAAGCCCATGCGCTTGCCATTCAGCACCTCATCCTCCAATACAGCAGGTGTCTTGAAGTCCGTGCATACTAGATCAATTATTGACGGCAAGTCATGTGCACAAGCAGCAGTTACAATTGCAGAGCGCGCGTAGAGGAATTCGGTTAGCGAGGGTGTTTGGGTTATGCTTAGGTCTTTGGAGAAGTCTGCTGCAGCGAAGACTAGGCCTGATAACTGATGTGTGGTGGCAGTGCAGATTTGAGGAAGATTCAGAATTGATTTCGCGCTTTCAATTAAAGCTATGACGGAGATTGGTGGATTTTTGGATGGGTCTGGATTGGATTCGGTGGGTTTGAGGTTGGAGCGAGTATGGGATATTACATCAGAGATGAAGTGGAGGTCAGAGGCGCTTTCAACTTTTGGAACGACGAGAGTAGTTAGATTTGGAGATTTGAGCTGGATTGAGGGTGAGAAGGTGTATCGTCTCTTGAAACCTTATGAATCGTGCAGGAAGAGTAAATTTTACTGACCATTTCTGTAAGATCAGCTAGGGCCAGCCCACTGCTGACGGAATTGATGCGCACAGCGCGCTCTTTTATGCCAGATGGCTTGGGTTGGTCAATGGCATTTCGAATCAAGGTGCGTGCTTCGGCCTTTCTTGTTTGGGTTACGCTATCTTCCAGGTCATATGCCACACAGTCCGCGACGAGATTGCGAGATTTGTCCAGCATGCGCTGAGAGGAGCCCGGGACTATTTATGAAGAGCGTCATTGTATTGGCAACGATATGAGCAACTTGAGTACATGAAATCGAACATACCGTACAATAAAGCCCGGCGCAAGATGGTACCTGTGGAGGCCATGATGATGTAAGATGGGTAACGGTAGTTAGTCAACGCAATTCTTTGGAGCCAAAGCCGATGCTTATAAAAATAAGTCGATTTGGAAATGTCACATATGCTTCATTTACAAATGTGACCTTAGCATGTTAGACATAGCCCTCGGTGAAGTTGCGGCTGCAAGTTGTCATGCCGAATACAATGGTGCTCTTGGCACTTAGGCAACTGGTAAACACAACTTTAGCTAACTACTTTCAGTTAACTAGTTAGTATTTTATCCTATCTAAAACTACAGATCTGTACAGATCTGTATTGACTCCCAGTGATGACAGTGGCCTACGGTGTGATAGCAGTATAACTAACTACTGGTACATTTAACCTTACACAGCTTTCTTCTTGTAGAGTTGTAAGGATTCACTTTAAATCAAACAGTGAGCCTAGGGTCTTAGGCTCATTTTTACATGGATATTAGTTTATGTTGTACTGTATGAACTGTGTAACATCGGGCTCCATTACGCGGCGTATACAGCTAACAAATATTCAATGAGGAGTCAAAACAGAGTGATGAAGTTAACGAAAGACGATTCAATGATTGAATTGAATACAAGTGATCATATCTAAAATGATTAAAGTAACTTCATATAGAGAGAGCCATATGTCTCATAGATAGCAATTGCTTTTGGTTACTCAAAAATATTTCTATCAATTTCGATTCTCGAACAAAGTTTGTATAAGAGAAACTATCAAAAGTTGAAAAATGCAGTATCAAACGGAGCAAGGTGAAGTTTAATATAGAATTCAAGCTTAGTTTTGATATATACTCAGAAAGAAATACTGAGTAGCATTTGTGTGTGAAAGCAGCATTTTCGCCATCCGACGCTCAGTCATCCATTCTCTGGCTCCCCAAAATCTGCCGGACGAAGCAAACCACCATCCAAAACTGTTCCAATATGCGTCTTCCCAATCTCTTCACAATTCATCCGAACCTTCGTCAAAAATACCTTTAGAAACTTGACAGGACTGTTGACGAAATTCGACTTGCTACTACCCTTCAAAATAAACCCGTCTGCAGCGATCGCCTGACCGCTTCTATCCTCCTCCCAGGCAAGACCGAGAAGCTCACACACCTCCACATATTCTTTGAACGAGCTGAAGTACAATTGCCCAGAAAATAAATTCAGCTGCAGGACCAAGTAGCGAGGCAGGTCCCATGCCACTAGCTGTTTAGGGTTGGTAAACAAATCCAGCCCATCCAACGCGCGAAAGCCCATGTTCATGCGCGGTGCATACAGGTGTAGTGTTGTAACCTCGGACTGTTTTACTACCGGTAGGAGCTCCTGCGCTTCATATGGGCTTATGACGATCATGTGCTGGACTGTAATCGATGAGCTGCCGGTGATGTTTGTCAGGATCCACTGTACTGGCCGCTGGTACGCATCGGAAATGTATTTACCACCGGATATTTGAACTGTGTTGGCAAAATCAGCGCTCACGAGAAGTCCAGCAGGGAATTGAGAAACGTCAATATGTTTGGCGGCACTGGAGTTGCGCAATATCTCAAAAGCAGGCTTATAAGCTTTTGATTTTTCAATTAGCCTACCAGTAGACACGAATTCTATTATATCACGGTGGATGTGATGCTCTGCAGCTTTGGCTGGAGGTGGTCTCTGAGTCTGCCGCTCTTGCTCATTCTCAGGGGAAAGCTCGCGTTCCTGCTCCTCCTGGAGTGTGGCTGAGTTGAGGTCTGCACTGTCAAATTCACGACAGCGTTCCATGATGAGGTTGAGGTTTCTGTTGTTGTTCACTTTCCCAGTGGACGCCACTAGAGTGCTTGGACTGGGTCGATACCTGGCCTCAAGGGTTTGGGATTCCTCTTCAAGAAATCGTGCAGCTTGTGTCGTCGATATTTGCACCTTTGCCTTGGTGCGGGATTCAGCCCAAAGTGAACTGTGACGTTCATATCTTTGACCTTGTATAGCCCAAAGCGGAATGCTCCGTCGCATATCAATGCAGGTTTCAGATATAGCCCAACTCAGGACATCTGACACATTAATTGAAACGTTTTCCGCATTCGCACGTGCCAGAATTTTGGTCTTGATCTCTCCTGGGATACAAAATATAACGGACTGGCCTTCGCCAAGTTTTCTCATTCTCATACATGCTGCCCAAATGTTAGTAGCGTCAATGACAAATTAAGAGGGTAAACTTACCCTGGACCAGTCGGTCTTTTGTCAAATTTGCCCCTAAAGTAACTGCAGCTCGATAGTAGTCCGGCAGTTTTAGATCCGTCCCTCTCGTGTGAGCCTCATCAAGAAATATGAGGCATAAATCAAGTTGCTTAGCGTATGAAGACGTCTGTAACGGTTCGATGTGACCTCTCCGGTCGAGAACAGAAATCTCGTCATGATCGTCAAAGAACACCACAGCCTGCTTTTTCTCCTTATTTGGCACCATCCTTAACCACTCCCTTGCGACCCCTAAATTGCTAAGCTCCAGGATCTGTGCCCCAACATCCAAAATCACTTGCACTTCCGGCTCCATTGTTACCACCATAGCTAGTAGGCGTTCCGCATCCGTATTAGAGGTCTCATCTCGTGGCTGCATAAGGGATACAGAATTTTCGGGTCGCAGGAGATGCTCCAGGACCAAGGCATTGGTATGCTTTTGCCGGGGAAGATCCAGGTGCTCTACACTAAGCGGGAGAGTCTTCCTCGAATCATTTGTCCCACTAAATCCGGTTGTCGGATGGGATTTTATCCTTCCAATATTCCAGCCTGATGCGGACAGCTTGTGTGGGAATTCCTTCACCTCCTTTGGGAAGACGATATGTTCTAAAAAGTAGTCTATGACACTCTTGGCATGCCGAATAAATGGAAATATTCGTTCGAGGCATTGGAGGCGATCTTTGAGGTTTATGCCCGTAAGACGACGGAAATCCGGTGGCAAGTGTGGAGCATCCCTCATCCACACCTGATATTCAATGTCCGCTTGGTCGGATTTCAAAAGATGGGAAAATGTTGCAAACAAATCGGCATCCTCAAGTCCGCCGTAATAGTAGCTTAGCGATGTTAGAGTTATTACAACGTCGGGGTGGCTGAATTCAGATCGCGGGGTGGGGTTGTCCTTTGCTCGGTACGGCACTGCAAGCTTTGTTGGAGGCTGCCTGGTTGCGTCAAGCCCATAATTTACCCTCCAGCGTTTCTGGCCCAATGCAAACCGCAATACTCCCCCAGCTATAAGGCCTCGTAATAGTAGAAGTGTATTTCTTGTTGCATCTGTCCAAAATCCACCTGAGCCCTGATTTTCAACTTGACAAACTTCGTCCTGAGTGAGTTCAGGTTCGGTGATGTATTTGAACACAGCTTGTCTAACATCTTCTGGTTGTCTGGCAATAGGGAAGCCCCTGAGTCCTGTTTTACATATCTGCCGTGCAACAAGATCAAACATATGTCGTTGAGCATCATGTCCGAGGATCCGGGTTCTGGGAAAGCTACCCGGCCAGCGCTCATGAACTTCCATCGAAGGAGGAAAATGTTTCGCCACACTGGCAGAAAACTTCCTCACAATGTCCAGTACTTTATGAATATATATCCAACGATCGGGACTAAATTCAACGGGTCGCTGCATGCCCATGGTGTAAACCAACTCGAATTTTACACTGAAGTTTTCATCACTCTCGTCCACGATATCACGAGAGAACGCGTCAAAGAATTCTTGTGTTTTGATCAAAGAATGACCTATTGATTCCTTGCCTGAAATGAGGCACCCGAGACCCATTAGCTCGAACGACAGAATATGTTCGGGCTGAACAAGTAGGATACCGCCTTTTGACATGCATTCACGATAAAGATCGCCGATCATATTTGCCTCTCGTTCTCTAATCTGCAGTGCACGGGAAAACGGCATATGATAAACCCGTCTATCCAACAATCCCCCCAACTTGGAGACGAGCATCTCGAACATTTGTCGAGATTGTGGCTTAGCCACTATGACACGAACTAACCGTGACCCATTTGCGAGAGCAGCAGCTACGATAGGAACAATTACAGATGACTTTCCCTCACCCATGTTCAGCTGCAGAACGGCGTTGTTATTGGACTGAGGATCTCTCATCTGCGAGGCTATCTGTTCTTGCACCTCTCGAATCATGATGCCGCTCTCCACTTCCAAAAGTAAGGACTCGGGATATTCAAATGGATCCCAATTCGTGTGGCCAGAATTCAACAATTCTTTAATAAGATCGGCGTGGTTGCCGGATAAACTCACAAGTCGCGCCGCTCGTTGAAGTTCAGTGAGGGCAATCCCGTAGTAAACGATGGACCGCTTCCAGTCTGCCCCTATCTTCTGCCACCGATTACTGGAGAGATGCCGAAGGAAAAAGGTTGGAGATAACCGTGGTCGCTGCTCGGTCATAGCAGTTGTATCGACGCACCTCTGTGAAGAGTGTGGATGCCCTGTTTTGTGTTCAGGTGCCGCAGCACAAATCAGTGCATTGTAGATCTTATCGACAGCTTCCTGGCATTGGCGACGGTGTTGAACAAGAATGCGTTTGAGATCATTATCCTTTGTCCGTAAGCAATGACTATCTTTCCCGAAATCCTGTTGTAAGGAACGGAAGCTCTCTCGCAGATCATTGACGAAATTCTTTTCGTAATTAGAGTGTGCTCGAGCACCAAGCTGCGTTATCAGCGCACTAAGGCGACAGGTTGTTTGTTTCACATTAGCGGCAGGTGACAGTAGCCAGGACATATCTGTTACATGACGGGACTCTAAGATAGGTGCTGGACAAGAGAAGATATCGTCATTGCTAATGAAACCAGATTTTTTCGAGATATTCTGTGCAGGAATGACAAAGTTAACCAAAGAGGTATCCACTGGGTCAACCATTTGACGCGAAATTATGGTCTCAATTTGGTGAATATAATCCTTGAAATAATGGTTGTCGAACCAAATCTTGAACTTAGGCTTTACAATTTGGATGAACTTTGGTATATTAAGATATTGATGAAATGCTGGGTCAGCATCATCAACAGGGGCACTAGGAGTCTCACAAGGCCACTGAGATGCTAGTGCTTGATAAAATCTGTTGCGAACACGGCTTCGGTTATTTTGAAAGCTTGTGCTTTTGCGTTTCGCGAACGCACTTTCGGATTCGTTTTGACGGCGAATCAGATTCGCTTCAGGACAATGATGAATTGGAAGAAATGACGATTGGAAAGCGTCTTCCAAACCGACTTGGCTCATGTTTGTACCTTTTTGGAGATTGAAATGACGCACGTACGGAGCAGAAATCCGATCCATCTCAGCCACCGTAAAAAACAAGGCTAATGCTTGAACAATTTTCATATCCGCATCTTTGGCGAAAGCAAGCGTAGAGAGCCAGATCATCACACGGAATTTGTCAGCCGCTGTGAATACGTGACTAAACATTTGGTGAATAGCACACCAATGCTGAGAGATAAATTCGGACGATTGTAGTAGGAATGCGCTGTCGTACACTAGCTCGGAAGATTGAAGCGCATGGTTAGGTCCAAATATTTCGGGAATCATCGAAAGGAATTTCCAAAGATGGGTTCCCAATCCAGTTGAGCCAGCATAATGAAGAGTAGTGCGTCCATGATATACAATATTCGAGATAATAAACGCTCTGCATCCACTTTCTGAGTTCTGGCCCTGATCTCTGGGTTTGTATTTGACATCATGTGCGATGGTGTGGTCTCCAGCCCCAAAAGAAGGGCCACGAAAACTGGACGACCGGATAGAATCACGTTCCAACAGGTATATATCAACACTATCCGGAAGAAGCAGCTCAAGCTTAAGATCCGGGTGGAATATTGACATCCTATCTGCTTGTTCGAATATAGATGTAACGGCCTTATGGAATTCACCATGCTGAGCCATAAAGCCGAGGGTTGATGACCATTCAACCGACTGCATCACACGTTCTGTTGCCGGATAATATCTTCTTCTAGGGGTCAACCGTGCAATCTGCTCCAGGATTTTGACATTCTCCTCAGTTAGCTGATCAAAAGATCTGACGGCCGCGGAGCGTAAGATATAAAGGGCATTTTCTGTCCCGGTATTACGTATCAAGGGATCGGGTAAGCAAAATGAGGTGAGAGCATGGAGATAACAAAGAAGCAATTTGCTCTGTAAACTCCCATTGTCAATTAGCCCACAAATTTGATTGTTTATGGAGTATAAATGGGCTTTTGCGGCAGAGCCTTTCTCAATGGTGACGTTAACATGAGCTTCCTTTTTCACGCAACTTACAGCCCCTTCAGGTAGAATAAAATGTCGACTACCGTCCTCATGTTGCAATACGAGTTTATTGTAAAGGCCGACTAGGGTACCAAGCGACTGATCTCGATCGACAGCCATTCCGCGAAATTCTCTGGACTTCAGAAACGAATCCCCTAGCTTAAGGTAAAATCCCAGCTGTAGTCTGGGAAGCTCAACCTCCACCGACGATAACGCATGGTCGAAGATGATATGTATACGGGAAGAATCCTCAAGCGGGAGAAGCATACCGGAGATCTCGTTTGAAGTATCGCTACAAATGCTAATCAAAGATGTTCCATTTCTTGTCAAACGCCACCGGGAACCGAACTTCATTAGTCTCCAGTTGTTCATGGATGAAGTCCAAGGATCTTCAGTAGGACGAAATTCTACACAACCATTGGTCATGTCGTACCACTGAACGAAATTTTCGACAAAATGCTCAGGGAACATCCCTCGCAAAATCCTGGAGGGAATCAGCTCGAATTTCAGGTCGTCTTTAACAGCTTGGACCAAGATGTCGTATTTTCGTGAGCTTGGGACATCAGGAATATAGTCGTTGAGACCGAAGTGCAATATATAGTCAGCAAACTTCTTCTTTCCTGAAAATTGCATTCCCTGTACAGCAGTGGGCATGACTTCCAGAGCAGATTTCCCAAAAAGCGTATGGTATGTGGGATGTTGTTCGTACTTCGCAGGTAGACGGGACAGTGGATGGCCGTTTACGAGCAGCTCGCCGGTCAAGAGATTGAAATGAATTGGAAGTGAATGGGTATTCCCATCGGGTGCTGTCTTGCTGAGCAACCAATAGTCGAGCTCTTCTGAGGCTACTCGCCAGGCGTCTCCTGGCCGATAAGCTGACCAGGATTTCGTTATGGCGTCGTCTAATGGCCATCTATCTGCTACAATTTGCTTTGCGAGACTAGGGTAACATCGGTATGAAAGGCATAGTCGGCGCTGGTATAGTAATGCGATCGCGGGATCGGATGCCTTGCTAAGACGATTGCTACCTTGTTGGATGACAATGGAGCACTGTATGAAGTCCGAAACAGTTTTTGGCTCGGAAAATAGATTATCGAGATATTCCTGATCGACATTGCATGAATCAGTATAAATAAGAGCGATCTCCACGGCTTTTGATGTTAAGTCTACTCTGTGGCTGTCGTTGGCTGTCCGATGTGCGTAGTCTTTGAGAGATTTGAGCCAGTCGACAGTAGTAACTCGGATAGAAGCTAAATAGGCAAGACACTGTTCCTTGACTTGCTGTGTAGAAGTTAATGTTAGCAAACGCCTAGCCAAAGACGTAAACGTGCTCAGTGCCCAAGAAGATTCCCAGTTCCCTCTAACTCTCCGTAAGGCATCAAATAGACTTGCTAGAAGAACGTTGGCGAAAGTGTCGTCATCAACGATCTCATGGCCATCTCTAAGGACATTCCTGTGGCAGGAAGGTCCGGCTTGGTAGATTGATTGAAGAACTACCAGACCTGTCTCTATCTTTTTGAAGTCAATAGTGGATGTGGAAAGTTGCAATAGGATATTTTGCCACTGAATTCGACAGCCGAGAGGTATTGTGCATAGCGCCTTGTATTCATCCAACGACATGTGGGCAGGACAATCGGACTGGCCGGCTATGACAGTGTTGGGTGGTAGCCCATTGGGTCTTGTGAACGGGCGATGAAGAAATTTCTGAAGAGATAGCGACTGCACAGGAAGTGTGTACATGAAACTCTCAGAAACTTTCTCCCTAACACTGATTCCTGCCACAAAAAGACCCAATGTATTGTCAAAATAACGATAGTGCATACCGTTGTCAGGACAAACTTCACTTTCTGTAGCAACAGAGATTTTCTTGCCACGGCGGTGTGTAGCTATGTGGGGTTTGTTCTCCGACAAAAGACAAACACGTTGTGTCGCACTGAACGGGCTAAAGAAAGACCTAAGACCCGCATATGTGCGTAAAGGATGATGTGATCGCGGGTTAGATTTTGAAGAGTATTCGGTTTTTAAAACATCTAACAACACGAAGATAGTAATGTCGCGCCAACGGCCAAAAAATGGAGGTACCTTGAGTTCAAAAACTGTGGATTGAGCTTGCAAGACGTTTTTAGGCAATGGCCACTCATGGATATTAATTGTTAAGGAGTTAGCTCTGATTCGGTAGCTACACCTTTTGCAGATGGGGCTGTGCTGTTGTTCACTGAAATTATTGGAGTAATGAGGAATGGCTTCGTTGTAATCGCATTCGATTTCATTGTAGATTCGCATTAGGTCATTGTAGTTCTCCTTTTTTCGTCGGAGTTCTTCGCGTTTAATCTGTCTCTCCCGTGTTGCCCACCTCTCAATTTCCTCCAGAGTGTTTTGTAGCTCGTGACATTGATCGAAGTACTTGACAGAAAAGGAATATCGAAGGCCAAAATCGTTGAATATACTCGAAGCAGAAAATCTGGCTCGCGTTTGACGGGAATAGAGATATTTCTCTACCCGAAGAAGCCTTTCCATTTCATCCTTGAAAGGCAAAACTAAAGATTGAAAAAGGCCTTGAGGAATTCCCGGGTCATAATCCAAAAGAAGTTTGCATATATGCACAGCAGATTCGTCACAAGCAACCCAAAGTTCAAGAATGATGAGCAGCATTGCGGAAAAGGCTTCCGGGTTTTTTGAATGAACGGGAGAGGCAATAGCATAGTAATTTTGAATCAAGTCGCCTAGCTTGCCACAAGTGCTGCCGTTCGATTTATGGCACTGCAGCCACTGAGGTAGCTTAGAGACAACCCAATCCTCTATGACCCTCAAATTAAACGACGCATGTTCCTCGGCCAAGATGTTTGGGCAATTTGGAGGTTCGTCAGCGCTATATTTCGCGAGAATGGAAGCTGGTTGAAATGGGCCAAAGTTATTGATGATTTCTCGTTCGGGAAGCAACTCGATATATTCATCTAATGCTGGGAGAGAATGAAATACATCTTGGTTGAAATCCAGGCATCCAAGGCCAGATAGGTCGTAGCGGGGACCGCTATTTTTCACGAGGCTCGACCATATATTTTGAATCCGGTCTCTGGCGTTCTGCATCGTTTTTGTAACGAAAGACTGTGTTGATTCCTGAAGGGGCGAGTCGATTTTAAGTAATCGGCGAGAGATTTTGGCAATCTGGATATATAGGAGATCGCTGTGAAATGAATGTCTGAGTGATGATTTCAGAACACGACTCATGAGAAATATCATAAACTCTTTGTAGAGACCCACTAGAGGCCTTGTCGCAACTTTTGTTTCTCTGGAGAAGACAAGTTGCATTACAACACGGACAAACAGCCATAGTGGAGATCTTCGCCACGGTAGCAAAGCATCGCTCCACAATACTTCTTCCCGAGTATTTTTCCAAAGGCGAGACACGTCCGCAGGTTGGCCAACAGACCTTAGAATCCCCGCAAAAAGCTCAGTTACCATCTTTGGGTGCACAGTGTCTCGGATCTCATCGTGCATTTGTCCGGCCTTCTTCACCTTCGGCATTGTTTCCGCAGAAGGCTGATAGCTCATCTTAGTAAGTGTACGAGAGACCATAGCTTGAAATCCGGGGGCCTGAAATGCACCAGTGCCCAAAGAGAAGACCGGCCCTGGGAAAGACCGTCTAAGCCTGCCTTTTGTTGTGATAACAGCTTGATTGAGTGGAGATAGTTCAAATAACTCGAAATTAACGGAGTTGGCGACCTTGCCGACCAATATGCCTGTATTCTGGGCCCGTATGTGAAGCGGAACCATCCCACCTTTGGTTGATTAGCAAGAAGGAGTAAACTTAAGGAAGAAAAATGGAGGCAATAAGCTTACCATTGTTGCAAAGATTTTTAAGAGCATTCTCAAGCTTCTCTTCGCTGAGGGAACCATCAGAACTTGAACACTCACGCACAGTCTTCAAGTTTGAGATCATAACAATGACCAAATCGACGATTCCATGCTGGTCGCGTGTGACACAGTGCTTAAAATCTAAGAGAGCCTGGAATATGGTGTCCAGCAGTAAATTTTCGTAATGCGAATTGAAGTCATCTTCCTGGGGGAGTTCAGGCGGGAGGAAAATGTGATGAATCAAGTACATAATTGCGCCATGCGACAGTTCCATCGTTTCGGGGGCCATGGTGACTACCGGGTTAAGTGCAATAATCCAGCTAGAAAGAGTGTGGGTTATGAGTGAGCACCGATTAGTATCAGGTTTCGGAGAGGGAAGATGAGGTCCTGAGTAACAGTATCAACATGCAACCCCGGAGGGCAACTCCAATAGAAGGGCGGCGAGACGATTGATAAATACCTCAATATGGTGAGCCGACCGAAGTAGAGACGCAGTCGTACCGCTAGGTTTGATGTAGTAAGAAATATGAGGACTGTCGAGCTCAGGTTGCCATTGTCATTGTGTGCCTTGGAGGAGGCTATTTATATATAGCCCTAACAATGAATAACACCGGGCCGTGGAAGACCGGTGGGTGAAAGGAGCCCTTCTAGCAGGCTTTCAAGATAGCTTCGTTGCATCTTTGAATAGACCTATTCCAAGGCTACCACATCACAATGGTGGGCGTTGGAGGCCTCAAACATCCGCGCATGTTGCCAAATTGTTGGCTGAAGAGGTATGTCATCATCCCCCAGTCAGCCCAGTAAAGGCACAGCATTTGAATGGTAGCTACGTGTAAGTTTTGAGCATAAACTTGAGCCTTCAGCACGAGTCTACCGAGACGTGCTGGTGTGTTGCTGAGACTGATATAAATTCACATGTCAACAACAAATATTGTCTTGAACTCCTTGTGTTGCTGGCATGGTACATCTGTCTCGTAATAAAATCGCTATCGTCAAGAAGAACTTCCGTTAACCAGCTCATTTGATCGCTTAAATGACTTGCTTTAGGAAACGGAGAAAATTCGTTGAATTTCCTGGAGGTATAACCATTGAGTTTGTAACGTGATTCTCATCGTGATGAGAGCTAGTTTTCTAACCACACTCAGCTAGGCATTTTAAAATTAATTCCCAGATCTGCATGCTTTTCAAACCCTGTCCCCCTCCTAACTATCTAAGCCCTCACTTCAGGAATGTTGGGCCAATGGGTAACCTGGGAATGTTGTCGCGGCCGGAAGCATGCATATCAGTAATTTAATTCGTAAGGAGTTGTGTTGTGGGTGTGATTTAGTCGGGTTAACTTTTCAAAAACCACATTCAAGTGTTCTGAAGTAGTATTTATCATAACCCTAAGTAGATACTGTTGGGAGTTCGGATTGGTTCGTCCCCTCTACTACTAGCATGGCTACGGCAGCCTATAGCGACAAATGTGTCAAATGCCGTCATGGCGCTGGTGGTGATCGCTCGAGCTCTTTTACCCCAGTGGCCTAACAAATGCAAGTATCATGCAAATCCTACAACCTATTGAACTCACTCAAATGCAAAATAATTACCCGTCCATTTACTGACTTAAGCCTTCAAGGAATCCTACTAGTACCACTTCACATGTTTCGCATTACTTTTTGGCCTGTCTCTTCCTTACATATGTAGCACCCTGCACCGCTCATACCATGCAATATTTTCATCAGATCACAAGATGTCATTATCCATGATGTGAAAGGAAATCTGATTACCAGATAGATGCCTGTTATTATTGACAACCGAGGAGAAAGTTATGTTTTGGTTGATCCAGGGGTTGGGAGTGCACTCTGTGCTGCCAGCGCTGTTACAATAGCTTCCGTAGCTACTGCTGAAGATAGCTGAAGATAGATGTAAACTTAGATTTTTCCATGATTCACAACACTTTGGGTTTGGTAAGTTATCAGTGTGTGAGTGCTTATACTTCCCGTGCTAACAGTTTTTGTTTATCAAGTTATCCCCACCTCTATGTCCCATGCCAGATCCATTGTCAAACAGAGTCAATTACAAGCCTAGCAACCATATTCTTGAGCTAGAAGATGCATGAGATAGTTATAGATGGAACTTTTGATGGTCCAATCCAGCCACCCATCCGGGCCAGAGCAGTCAGATCGTTTCGAACTGAAAGTTGGGCGAGACTATGTAATAATAGTAATTTGAGAAGGCAGAGTAGCTGCATTGGATTGATTGCCCAGCAAAACCAGCTGCGTATGGATGACGGCAACGTGGTGTACTAGGAATCAACAGATAAAATCACGAGTTACGCAGCACGGAGTAGTGTGAGTAAATTCCATCTGCCTCATCGCGAATGTTGCATGAAAGTTCTTACTACTCCGAAGCACTGCATACATACCAAGAAACAAAATCTGCATGGTATGGAATAATAATAATCCATTCCATAAAGGGCCTAGCAGGATCGACAATGTTACAGTACTAGTAATAATGGATACATTCTTTTTCTCTTCAATGAGGGGAGACTCTTCCCACCGAGATTTTGCATTGCTTCGTATGATAATACTATACTAGTATGTTTGATCAACTTTGTCGCAGTAACTACTAGTATTCGTTTCTTCAGATCAGCATTGAGGGATATATATCAATGTCATACATGCTTGAGGTTGGAATGTCCATAATACTGTTATTGCCTGGTGCGTGCGGGTAAACTAACATTGTTTCCAGCACCTCGACTCCTCACTTCCAGTAACAGCGATTCAAGTGATTGATAGTTCTGATGGCAGATTTATCCTAAGTGGCTATGGGCCATATCTCCAACTAGTTGATGAGGCCAGTGGTACTCGGCTGGATCGGATTCAAATATTTGAGAGAAACACCGTCCATGGTATTCAACTTGCCAGTTTGGCATTTGCGAAATCCGCTGTCAATGTTACCAGCTTTCTCGTTTGGGGTGGTCAGTCCTTCCGACTATTCAGGTTAAATCTTGGAAGTTGCTCATTTTCAGTTTCCAGCCCGGAGTGTGCAGCTCCTGACTGGATCCTGAATGCAAATTTCTATCGTCCAGAGGACAATGATCTAAACTCCTCCATAGCAAATAGAGCTTGTTTGATAACTGCACATAATGTTCTCTTTGGGTTAGAATGGGAAGATGACTCTATGACATACCAGGCGGACATTCGACTGCGCCAGATTGGAACGGGGTTGAAGTCGGTCCTATATTCTGCTGATGTTTCATGGCTATCACCGGAACAGATTCTCGTCGCTGCAGGAACGGTGTTTGGGGAAATAGTTGTTTGGTCATCTCGCCTTCCTACTACGCAGAGATATGTTTGCTGGGAAAACTCCTCCGTTACTATCCATCATCTCTTCACTGGACACGATGGGTCAATTTTTGGAGTGGATATATCTCCCAAAATCCGCTGGCTGGACAACCAGACTCGAAGGTTCCTGGCAAGTTGTAGCGACGACAGAACTATACGGATTTGGGATATTTCGGCCTGTTCTTCGCCTCTTGCAACCGAAAAATATGAAAGGGCAGCAGCAAGACCTGCAACTCGCTCTACCGGATTTGGAAACATTTTCCGTGATGATTTGGATATCGACCCGGAAGCCTGTATTGCGAAAGCATGGGGTCACACCTCTAGGATTTGGAAGGCGAGCTTCGTGGATATGACTATTTCACCGCAAGCAGCCTGTTTGGAACTCGTGTCTCTCGGCGAAGATGCTTCCTGCCAAGTTTGGCGCTTGAGGTTGCAATACGACTCGCATGTTGAAGAACACCTTGTCTCATATAAACATACAATTCTTCAACATATGTCAACGCATGCCTACCATACTGGAAAGAATATTTGGTCCATGGCAGTGCATAAATCACCGGACTCGACGACAGTGTACTCCGGAGGTGCAGACGGAAGTGTACACTCATTCGTTATTGGGACAAATGAGGCGTCCTCTAAACATCGGTCGCAAATACGGACATACGATATATATGATCTTTCGCAACGTCTCCCTGTGTCCGTCGGCTCCATGCCTGGTAAAGCACGGAGACAAAAATCAGATGACAGGTTGAATCGATATGCATTTGTTTCTGAAACTTGTATTCTTGGGTTATCTTCCCATGGTAAGCTGAACGTGGGTCGCATTTCAGGTCTGGAAAGTATAGAGCCTCAACCGATGGATAAGACGCACTCCCCAACAATCTCCTGGGAGAATATTGAGGTTCTGGATTCACCCGGATCTCAGTTTGCTATGGCTAGCCATCCAGAGCTAGGGATTGGGATGATCGGTGATGTGCAAGGTACTCTGTGGTGGTACAGAAATGACACTAGGGGAATCTTTACATTGATTCAGTTGGAAAAGAAGATAACAGGCATATTTTTCGCATCCTCACAGACCAAATATGATAATAACATTGACCCTATGTCTTCAATCGCTGCGGTCACTACATCTCTGGGAACACCGAGCACAAATCTATTTTTGATCCCTGACAAAAATTTTCCTGAGAACTTTACGAGGATATCCCTGGATCTGCCTCCCACATTCCTGACGACAAGCGCTGCTTTCATTGGACACAAGTTTCTCTTAATATTAGGGGCTAAAACAGGGCATCTAAGTGTTTTTGACCTGAAAAATGCCAAAGACCCTACTCCCCGTGTTCCAGCGCTTACCGTTTTCAATTTACATGCAAGGGACACTGTAACGTCAGTCACTCCACTACCACAGCTTCAGCTCCAGGAGGAACGAATTTTGACTACGGGAAGAGATGGATACTATTGTATCCACTCACTCGCTGGGACCGGGGATTCGAAATCTCCATGGGCACTACAGACCATTCATAAAATGGCTCCACCATTTGGACCCTATATTGAAGGTGGTTACTTCGATAAAGCCACAAACCATTTGATTCTCTTCGGATTTAAAAGCACTGAGTTTACCGTATGGAATGAATCAACCCAAACCGAGCGAGCAACTATTGAATGCGGTGGTGCTCATCGAATCTGGGCCTACAACCCATATCACGCTGGTGATTCAAGCGAGGTTTTTGCATGGACCAAAGCATCTACCTTTAACTTGTTTAAAAAAACATCCGTGCTACACCGTGCTGTGACGCTTGGCACCCATGGGCGAGAGGTAAAAGTAGCGGCTATTTCGGAGGCTCCTTTCGAAGACGGAGGCAATAAACATAGGATTATTGCTACGGGAGGTGAGGACACTTTAATTCGCATATCCATCTTCGAAGAAATGACTTCTTCCAAGTCGCGGGCCAGTTTGACTTGCTTGCGAAGTTTGAAAAAGCACAATGCGGGTATCCAACACCTACAATGGTCGCCATGCGGAAAGTTTTTATTCAGCAGTGCGGGAGCTGAAGAATTCTATATCTGGAGACTTCGATCTATTCGCGGCTTCGGGATGGGGGCCATTTGTGAGGGAGAATGTCCAAAGACAGCAGAAGATTCCGACTTACGGATCACAAGTTTTGATGTTCTGCAGACCGCCACCCACGATGAGACAGAAAATTCGTTCCTGCTCTGCTTAGCATATTCTAACTCAACTGTCAATGTAAGCATGACCCTTGTTTCTGTGATTGATGCTAGCTAACAAGCAAGATTTTCCACTACGTCTCCGCCGCTTCCGGTGGTTCGTTTATTCATCTCAGCAAAGGCCGATACATGGCAAACTGCCTTACAGAGATATACTTCTCCAACTCGACTTTAGGGCTATCATTGATTACTGCTTCCACAGACGGATATATTGCCACATGGGACACCTCCGAAAGCTTGAATGATATATATTATCTTTCTAACGACGGGTTAAGACAACCCCGAGGAACCAAGACGTCTGCAGAACCGCGGTCGATAAACTGGCAACATCGGTACTGCATTCATCAAAGCAGCGTCAAAGCCATGGTGATATCTCCTTTATCTAACGGAGAATGCCTAATTGTGACTGGCGGGGACGACAATGCCATTTCAGTTTCCCGCCTTAGAATAGGCAATGGTGCGAATTCGGACCGTGCCAAAAAATCATTTTCTACAATATCACTACCCCAAGCACACGCGTCGGCTGTAACTGCTATGTCTGTCCTGGAGAAGCCGGCCCGACTAGTAAGTATGCGCCAGCAAGATTATGCCGTATTTGAGTTGCTCATCGCATCGACTGGAAACGACCAGCGTCTTAAGCTCTGGTTAGTTGAATTGGACTTTGCGAGATCTGGCGAGGATGGAATTCGCGTATCCCTGTTGCAAGATGTGTACACTTCAGTAGCAGATATGTCGTCGATGAGTAGCTTCAGAACGCATATTGGCAGGGGTGACAACAATGAGCTGAGGACATTGAAAATTTGTTTACTTCTTTGCGGAGTCGGGGTAGATTTGTGGTTCTTGAGGATGGCATGATGATGCCCATTGCATCGATTGGAATTCAGAGTTCTAATTTTGGGTTCCAAAAATTAAAGTAAAGCAAGACGAACAACATTTCTACAATCATACAAATTCCAGAAGCAAACGGAATAAATAAAAGAAGTTTCAGCCTTTTCCCACATGGGCATATACATCTAAGCTGACTCTGATGTATCAATCATCACTTTCGTTGTGGGCTTTTTGCAGTGGGGTTTAGATCAGCGACGATTACGGTGAGAGAAGCAGGCATCAACACTGGTTTACGGGGTAACGAGCAAATATCAAACTTTCCAGCATCCTTGCTGTGTGGCAGCCGGTATACTTTTGTCACGCCCCTGCTAATTTGATATTCAAATCAACGATGCGATCCTTCGCTAGCGCTAGCGAACGCAACATTGCCCGAGTATCCGTGAGGGTTATTTGCTTCCTGGCAATTCAGGCAACATATGGGTCGACCAAATATAACCATATTGATGAGTGATAACCGCATCACATCCTCTTGAGACGTTAGCATAGCTACCTATACTTCCTACAAAGAGGCTAGAAAGCAACGCAAGAGAGAAGATGGCAGCTCAAACCCCCACCAAAACCCTCACGGCTCACTGCTTTTGCCGTACTGTGCACTACAAGCTCACTATCCCCATCACTTCCCTCCCGCTACGCACACACCTCTGCCATTGCGGCATCTGCCGCTTCACTCATGGAGCACCATGTGTCTTCCACGCGCCACTGCCCGCGGGTATAACTCCACAATGGGTTGCACCCTCAGGCCCACATAACCTGACCAGCTACAGACATACTAGTGGTGCTCTTTCCGATCGTGTCTTCTGTAGTACATGCGGCTGTCAAATCGGTGACATCTGGCCCGCAAAGCCTATCAATAGCAAAGAGGATGAGGAAAAGGAAGATGCAGCTGACAATCGACACTGGACCATCTCCACCTCCATCTTCACCGACCACAGCCCATCCAATTTTCAAATTGACAAACATATCTTCACCGACTCCGCCCCGGGAAAGGCGGGATTGCATCAACTCCTCCCTCGTATCAGCGGGCGCGATATGGAAATTTACACAGGTCACTTCCTCCCACCAAATGCCAACAGGATCCTTCCCCCACCCCCAGCACCCCCTCAGGCTGAATTTGGGAACGCGGATGGTAAAGAGGAACGGTTGCGTTGCGAATGCCACTGCGGCGGAGTGTCTTTCACCTTCCCTCGCCCCACCCAAGCCATCCTCGGTAATTCCGAGCTGAACAAATTCGTCTCACCCACCGACCCGCGCAAGTGGCTCGCCTGCCTTGATCTCTGCGATGACTGCCGCTTACTGAACGGCACACATGTGACCGCGTGGACGTTCCTACCGCTGCAACTGTTGGAGCCAGCTGTTGGAACTGACTTGATCATCGGTACGTCAAAGACGTTCGAGTCTTCGAAAGGGGTGAGGAGAGCGTTTTGTGGAACGTGCGGGGCGACGGTATTTTATTGGTCTGAGGACAGGGCCGATATTGTGGATGTGGCGCTTGGGTTGGTGAGGGCGAGCGAGGGACTGTTTGCGGAAAGCTGGGTGACATGGAGGAATGGACGGGTGGCCTACCAGGAGAGCGGGGAGAGGTTTGATAGAGATTTTGCGGAGGCCGTGGCGCTGGGGATTAAAAGCTGGGGTTTGGAGAGGGAGGGAGAAATTTTAGATTTCCAAATTGGGTGAGGCGGGTGAGGTGAGTGAGTCTCCGAGAAGAACAGAGTCATCATTAAGGCACAACAGTACAACAGGTTGGTTTATTTTATAGGTTACTGAGGCAAATTGCTCCTCCAGGCGATGTCGGAAGATATGAGGTCTGGGTCCGCTGGCTCTTCAAATATATGGAAAAATTCGCGATCACTGGACATACGGAAAACTATTTTATTTAATGGGTCTGTATATGAGGGCTGGATGGCTTTGAGAACGCAATATATAAGTTATAAGTGTAAACATTCTTGATTTTACAATTTAAAAGCAGTTGATAACCCCGATTTGACTAATTTCTCAAGGGAGAGTGGGAATATTTGAGAAAAGTAAGCTGAATAGCAATAGTTATGCAAATGTCGCATAATCAGAGTAAGATAGAAATCCATCTCGATGAACAATAATGCGTATGGGGATGTTATTTCATATAGTCAGCTATCATTGATTACCTGGCCATACAAACCAGCCACGAGCTGTGAGGAGCCACCCTGATGCTACGTGCTACCATGCAGTTCAGTGCGGATGGCTCGCCTGTAGAAGATTCAGTACTGGATGGGATGTTAATATTGGCCCTTTCAAACGAATTGGCAGAAAGCGATCAACGCTGGGCCATGTTCCACGGATACATCCTCGACCATAGCGACGAAATCGGATCGTGGACATGGACGGCAGAGAGACTCAAAATGGTAAAATAAGATAATCCAGGTCAATTTTCTACTTATCTGAAATGGCTACAGACGGACATACATCGCGTGCAGACAACACAGCATTCTTTCTCGTTATTATTTAAAATATTTTCTGCAGTGCGTCGTTGTCGCAAGAAATTCCTGAAATCCCCTGCCTTTCCGTGGGTCGGGATCAGGGGGCATCTTATTGTGGCGGATGTAAAGCTTGCGAAAACAGAATTTTCTGCCACCCCCTGAAAAGTAGTAGCAAAACACCACAAAAATAACCAAAATATCCATGTATCTCTAGAATCATTCAAATATCATCCAATTCATTCAAATATGCATCTTTATCATCAAATATGCACCTTTATCATCAAATCTGTCAATATGCCTCACAACACCCACTGTTCTACTGTCTTGCAAGCTTGTAAAAGAACTTCAACTATTCTGTGTCTTTGTCTGTTCAAACCATCTATTCTGAATATTCTGAATAATGACAAAAATTCAACTGATGATAAGAAGAAGAAGAAGAAGAAGAAGAAGAAGACACAGTCAGAAGATTCTTGATTTCTGTGAATATCTATCTCTGAGTCTGAAATCTCATTCAGACTGTATAAATGAGTGATTATCAATGAGATAAAGAAGTCTATAAAGATTAAGTTATGAAATGTCACAACAAATAATATGACTGTCAGCTTCTATTGTATTCAATATACTGTAAAAAGAATAGCTGAAGAGTATGTTATAAAACAGAACTGCAAAAAGATAGAAGTTGCAAATTGTATAGCAGTCATCTCATCAAACAAATATGAATCTTCAATCAAAATCACCCTTGAGAAGGAGATAGATTGAAGAGAGATTATCATTCTTTTGAAAAAGTTATATAAGAAGAAGATGAGTGAATTTAGCATTGAGATTATCATCTCTTTTAATCTTTTTGATATCTCAACTCTATTCTCAAACATCTCTGTAATATATGATTCTGCAGCTTTCATTGAAGTATTGGATTCATAATTAACAACTCAGACATTGACATCAAAAAGAGTATTAGATGTCAAAAAAGAAGTAATCTCATCATCTATCAAATCCCCTCTCTATTGTTCTGTCAAATCCTCTTGAATTCATGAAATATCTGATGATGAAAAGCTGCTGTCTATATGTATAAGATTCATGACCACTAGTCAGCAGCTGAAGAAGGCTTGAAATTGATGATCAAATAAGTATGATTCTTTGTGGATTGAATGTGAGATAACTGCTCACTGATATTGTCAAAAGATGAATTATTATAACTTTGAGCAGAGCACTTGTTGAATGATTTTTGATGATACTCATATTCAACTTCTGAGTAGTGAGATTGTCAGTTGAATAGATGATATTGAATGTGAACATACAATAGTTAAAAATCTATCAAAAAAGATAATAAAAAGATTAATAAATAGAAAGAAGAAGAAGAAATGAAAAAATGAATCTATCTCTGCTTCTAATCCTTCTATACAGACATCTCAGATATCAGCAGTTATCTTCTCTTTCTCAACTTCTTCTTCATCTAATATTGTATCTTCAAATAAGATAATCAATGTGATGATGATGAAATATATAATGAAAGAAATGAGAGATATGAAAGGACTGAATTCAAACTTATTATTGAATTCAAATCTATTGTTGAATTCAAATCTACTGTTGAATTCAAATCTGCTGTTGAATTCAAATCTGTTGTTGAATTCAAATCTGCTGTTGAATTCAAATCTGCTATTGAATTCAAATCTACCTTCTATTTGAAATAGTTCAATCTCTCAGTTTAGTGAATATGTGGATCTGTTTATTGATGAGTTTTTCAACTGATTGATGATAGAGAGATCTTGAAGAGCAGAAGCTCTTTTAACTGTAAAAAGTATTATTCAGAATAAAGAATTTGAACTGAATTATATATAAATAATGATAAATGAGCAGGTGGTTCAGTTGAATATTGAAATGAATATATTTTTGATAATAAGAGATGAGTTAAAGAGTTCTATCTGACAGTCATGATTGAAGAAGATTAAATTATCTTTATCTGCTGTTTATAGTGATGACAGTAGATCTTATACTGCTTCTGCTTCTGAATTTGAAACTTAGATATTATATATTATTATAATTGAATTGTAATCTGAATTTTTCTAGATTTTACAATACTATTCTATATGAGCAGATCTGAAATATTCTCTTATATCTTCTTCTTTTATGAAGTTCTCAACTGCATGATGCAAGAAGGCTTCAAAATCTCCATCAAACTGATTCTCTAACTGACATCTGTATCTTCTAATCTATTCTTTCAATGCATGAAATGACTTCTCTATAGAATTATAATCAGAAGAATATGAGAGTAAGAATAAAAGTTTAATATCAGCTTCTCTGCAGAGATCTTGCAGTGCTTGTAAATAATGAGAAGAGTAATTATTCATCACTAGATAGTGATAATCTTGTTGATATTTGGGCAGTATTCAGATATATACAAACTCATTGAATCTCTCTGTATTATAAAACCTCTGATATATATCATAATCAAGATATTTATTGATATTTATTGCAGATAAGATTGATCATCTGTGAGATTGTTTACAGAGTCTT